CGACAAAGCAACTATGAATATGTTCACATAATATTGACAATAGCAACAAAGTATACTTTATTTATTTCTACATATTCTTGTAATTTATATTACGTGCATAAATAATTAAATTCGTATCTTTCATATAATTCTTGCTGGTGACATCGCTATTATCATTACTGAATTGAATAAATCATTTCCAATTAGTTGCTGTTTCTTTCCTGTTAGTAAAAAACTGATTGAAATTCAGATATCATATAAAATTTAAAGAGAGGATACGTGTAGTAATTGATGCTGATCGATCTGTATTGGTAATTGACTACTTTTACTAAATATTTAATCATGGAAATCAATTGCTTCATGAACAAAATGAAATTTTAAGAAGATAGACTGATACGTATTACTTATTTTTAAGTTGTTCTATTTGTAATATATATTTACTATTTTATTTTAATTAGGCACAAATAATTTCGTTTTTTTTATTCAATTAATAAAACATTGAAATCTTTGGTAGATAAAGATTTTATTTTTACAAAATATATAACAAAAATATAGAACATTGCTAAAATATTTCTTTATAATACCTTATTAATTTTGGTCTATACTCTACCTTGGAATGTCATGGAACCATGTTACGTTCGAATTAAATCAACAATTTTACTAAAGTAGAATTATTAAATTTTACAGCAATTTTAAAATATATACCCAGAAAACTAATCGATTTTAAACAGTTATAAAATATTTAGATTACCTATTTTTTGTGACCTTTATAATGGAGTACCTATATTTTGTTAACCTATATTTTGTTAAAATTTTGGTATCAATTGGTTGTCATGTTGTTTTAAGCTTCTTGACATTTTGAGAAGAGAGCGATATGACTGTCGAAGCATTGAGAAGTCTAAACCGACAACATGGCAATCAGCTTAGAAATTGTCCAACCATAATTTATCGACTTTCCATAGTCGGTTTTCAGTTACATTATAATATAGTATATTATTGGTTATTCAAAAAAATATGGATTGTGGTATACTCTTATTTTATATGAATTCCTTTTTCATCAATTATTCCTATAACCTGCTCTGGAAATTCATATTGTGCAAAATATTGTTCGATTACAACTGCCTCATTATCTCGGCAATTCTATAATTTGTGGAGACAAGTTACTTAGCAAGTATGTAACTTTTCTGGTTGTTGTAGTGCTTAAGGCAATGCAAAGTTTACCAGAATCATGGGTGAAATAATTAGAAATGGCAAATTTTTCTTCAATTCTGTTAGCTACTTCCCATATGCTTACACGGAAATGTTAAAAAAACTTGGCCACTATATTCAGATACAGTAATTTCAAAGTAGTTCTTATTTTTTACTCTTTCCGTTTCTTAGAGTAAATCTATTTCATCATCACTCAAGCTGGACAATGCGTCTAATAAGTCGTCTGAATCACTGGAAAGTAATTATCAAAAACATAAACCTTATAGGTTAATATTAACAAGATCACGTCATAAATTCCTTGAAAACTAGTTTATTTCTACGAACACCAAATTCTTCTCATAAAGCTAATATTTTTTATTACCTATTTAGTTTAATTACAGTCCAGAATGACATATTTTCATGATTTATATAATTCAAAGTAGCTTACATTATTTATTTTAAAATTTTTAACACATTACAAAAATGACACGATTGATTTATAATTCAAACTGCTGCTTTTTATCTCCCCTCTCTACATATGGGACATATGGAACACTAGCGCCCTCTTATTTTTGTAAGATTTTTGTTTACATGGAGTTCGGGCTCCTTGTATAGTCTCCATGCACATGACAAAGAACTTAACTTTTCATACATATAGCAATTACTCCAGTTTTAATTATAATAATTTTATGCAAGACTTGATGAATATATGTAAATTGGAACTTAAAGGATGTGGATGAATAAGTATATTTTTTTAATGATTTAAAATTAGTCTTTGATGCTCATGCTTCAGTTAAGACATCTCGATTTACAAAATTACCGGACCCTTGGCTTACTAACAACCTTAAATTTATGAAATTACGAAATAAGGCTTTCAAAATTAAAAAAAAAATTGAGCAGAACAAGCCTGGCTGGAATATAAAGATTTTAAAAAGTTTGTCACAATGGCGGTGAGAAATTAAAAAAGGTCTTATCTTCAACATAAGTTTGCTGTTGATGCAAAGGGATTATGGTGTACTTTACGATATTTAAATATAAAGAGTTCCATATGTTTGCCCGGGTGATATTAGCAGTCCTTTAATAATTACTTTGTTAATATGCAGTACCTTCTATAAATTCCAATAATTTTAAGAATTCCAATGATTTTATTACTGATATCTGTACTAATCAAATTTTTGCAAATATTACTAATAAAATTCAATTTATAACAGTAACAGAAGAATATGTCTAAAAGATATTGTTGCAGATCAAATCAAACGCTATTGGCACAGATGACATGTCTCAAAATGATTTTATTAATTATATCCATTCTTACTGGTTATATTACACATATTATCAACAGTTGTCTTATATCAGCTAAGTTTCCATCACTTTGGAAAAATACAAATATTGTACCTATACCAAAAGTAAATAATTCCACTCTTTTGGCGAGGTGCAGAATTTAAAATCAAGTGTACAAAATTGTATATAAAAACTGAGTTGGATTAGTGCCAAACTTTCTATGAAACATGAAATAATTGTGAATATGGTATCTCAATTTTTGATGAATAAAAATTGTCAAAGCTTTGCATTCACACTGAAACGATGCCCTTATAAAAAAATAAAACATTTTATTGTCTTTAAGCAAAAACAATTCATATATCAAAGGATAAACATAATAATCCACCTACTGTATGAAAAAAAATAAAATTTTATGAAGAAATTCAAGTAAATGATTTAAGAGATATGATTTATTCATTTAGTCAGAAATATACATACATCAAAGTACTAATTTAAAATAAATGTAGGTATCATGTTTGCATAAATTATTTCAAGTACAAAAAATATAATACAAAAACTAGTTGACTTATAAAAATATTTTTATAGCTTACGTAGGAGGGCGTGCCCATGTATACACATATCCATCTTGGCACGCTGTGATTATACAATCTGGTCGAAATACTAATGAAGTTAAACGTTCATGAGCAATTTTTTTACACACTAAAGGTTCTAAAGTAGGGCACTCATCTAGTCGTGGACAGGCAGGTGTTCCTACCAACTGTAAAGGATCCGGCCGACGTTTAACTCTAGGTCTAGGTGGAACCAAGTTGTCTTCTGGAAGTTCCCAAAGGCAAATCTGTGTATCATGTCCAACAGAACCAATTCTGTAACAAGATTCCACTTCTAAAAACCAGTCAAATGCAACTGAAGCCACCCATGATCTATGTCCTTGGGCTCGTGCTACTACCCGTTTCTGTTCCATGGAATAAACAGTTACTAAATCATCTTCCCCACCAACTGCAATTAATCTACCATCACCTGACCAGGCCACACATAACAAACCCCCAAAATATGATCTAGCATATCCCAGAAGTTCCATACTATCATACTGGAATACTCTAAGTAACCCGTCCTGAGACACAACAGCCAGTTGAGATCCATTAGGACTAAATGCTAATTCATTTATAGCAGCTCCAGAGCCAAGCAACCATCGAAAGAGAGGATTTCGAGTAGATTTTGTTTTACAAGTATTGACAGTAAATCCTTCACCTACTTTAAAGTGTTGATAATGTGGAGCTGCAGAACCGCAAGGCAACTCTTCATTATAAACATAAAACTGACCTGATGCATGTGCTGCTAAAAATAGTGATCTACTTCCTGGTACCCAACATAAGCATGTAACTCTAGTTTTATCAATTAACCTTTCTTCATTAAATAATTTACTTAACTCTTTCTTAATAGGATCTATTAACTGGATCTGCCCTGTACTGAAACCTATTAATAAACTCACACTTTCTGCTGTTGCTGAAGTTGCATTAAAATCATGACATGTTGGATTTGTCCCTTTGTAAACCTTTTTTTCTAATGGTTTATTCAAATCAGCAGCTTTTTTAATCCCCTTATATACGTAAACATATAATTCTTTACCATGATTGAAACAAATTCTCTCCCCTTGATCTGGCAACGTTACTAAAGAAACACGAACCTGAGGTGGAGTTTGTCCTTGTGGTTGATATCCAACACGGTTAGGTCTTGAATATTCGCTCAATGTCATAAGACGATAAGTGCCTTCTCTTGTAAGAAACTGTGTTTTAACATCCCCAGGTTCTCCTATTGTTCTATCTAGTGTTCTTTCTCCTGCTTCCAATAATGACTGATTGCACAATGTATCTGCCCTTGCCATTTTGGGGCCCAAGATTGGGTAAAGCTGGAACTTTACATATTTACAATTCTCAAACAATATTACTTCATAAAAAAAAATACGTCTATCGTTAAATTACTTTACATCATACTTCGTATTTTAAAACATTCGATATAAAATTTTGTAAAGGTATAGTATAAAATGACAATTGAGGTTAGAAACATGTAATCATATAGATTAGAGAAGTATACATAATACAAGCAAGGAGCCCAAACTCCATGTGTAAACAAAAATCTTACAAAAATAAGAGGGCGCTAGTGTTCCATATGTCCCATAGGTAGAGAGGGGAGATAAAAAAGCGGCAGTTTGAATTATAAATCAATCATGTCATTTTTGTAATGTGTTAAAAATTTTAAAATAATTAATGTAAGCTACTTTGAATTATATAAATCATGAAAATATGTCATTTCGGATTGTAATTAAACTAAATAGATAATAAAAAATATTAGCTTTATGAGAATTTGGTGTTTATAGAAAGAAACTAGTTTTCAAGGAATTTATGACGTGTCTTGTTAATATTAACCTATAAGTAAGGTTTATGTTTCTGATAATTACTTTGTTAAAGATTTTAGTTTAATGTTAGTAAAAAATAGTCACATTTTATACAGGAAGTTGCCTTTAAAGAAATAGTAATTCTTGTATTATTAATTAAGCTCTACAACAACCAGAAAAGTTACATACTTGCTAAGTAACTTGTATCCACAAATTATAGAATGGCCGAGATAATGAGGCAGTTGTAATCGAACAATATTTTGCCCAATATGAATTTCCAGAGCAGGTTATAGGAATAATTGATGGGAAAGGAATTCATATAAGATAGAGTATATCACAATCCATATTTTTTTTGAATAANAAATGTATTTCGAATCTTGCTCATACGCAGAAATTTAACAGTTGCCATGGAGGGATCAACTTCTTTAATTTGTCCAACATAGTGATAGGTAGTTTTTTTGGTGTCAAATTTGACCAAGACATAATCGTTAACTTTGAAATTTCGATCTAAAATAATAACATCATCTTCGTCAAACGATTCTTCTTCTGATGATTCATTCTCCATTTCCTCATCGCTGATAATTTCCTTTTGTTTCTGCAGCATCGATGTGAATGATTCATCAAGTTTGGGCATTCTTTTCTTTCCTGTAATTTTAGAGGATCTTTTATTTTTTTTGTCTTCTTTGTCCTTATTCTTTTTTTGTTTTTCTTCTTCTGCCATTTCTATCAACCTCTTCTCGGGTGTGTCCGTCAATATTCTAGTTTTTCCTTTCTTCCTCTTCATTCTAACCAATTTCCTGGGACCAGCCTTCGGATATGGTCTGACGGACTCGGGAGTAATTGCCACAGTTTCTTTACCTACACTCCTAATTGGAGATTTAGGCTGTGAAGGCCCAGGAGCTACCATGTCATTTGGACTTATAAGACCTGCTTCAGCATTCTGATTTTGTTCTATTGAAGGTTGTTCTGCGGGGACTGGGTTTGTTGTTGGTTGTTCTGCAGGAATGTTATCGGTATCAGGCAAACAGCGGTCGGTCACAGAAGAACAAAGGAAATCTTCATCTGTGAAAATGTTCGAGTTGAAAGGCCATATGCCAGGTTTTTCGAATCCCCTTTGAATGTTCTGTTGCTTAAATGCACGTGGAATAGCAACAGCGGCTAATTTTGGGATTTCGTAAATTGTGACCGTTTTACCTGGATGGCACGTCAGCCAGTCCGTTACAGCCGTATTATAGAAATTTTTCAACGGCCCATAAACAGTCAAATCAAGAGGTTGCAGTTTATGGCTGCAGTGTGGAGGAAAAGTCAGTAAAATGATACCAGATTCTTTACAGAAATCGAGAACTGGCACAGAAATATGACTGTCGTGATTATCCAGCAACAGAAGAACCGGTGAGGAAGGTGTTGCTTTACTATGCTTTGCAAAATGATGCATAAATTTTAAAAAATTTGGTGCTGTCATCCATCCTGAAGGATGTGCTGATCCATCTGACCCAATAGGAGCATTGTGTAGCATAAATGGTTTAAAATTCACTCGTGGAAATATGAAGTAGGGCGGTATAGAGTTTCCTAAAGCATTTATTCCACAACATACAGTGACGAGCGTACCTCTTTCAGCAGAAGTTGCTTGTCCAACTTGTTTGGTTCCCTTAGGAGCGACTACTTTTTGAGTTCGCTGAACAGTGGACAGTCCTGTTTCGTCGATGTTATAAATAGATTCTGGCCCAAAGTGATAACGCTCATATACTGTTTTAAGATTTTCGAAGAAATCTCCAACATTCTTTCTATTGAAGCTGGTGGCTCTCGAGAGACTGGTAGGTTCCGGTGTGCGTATTGATAACTGTGGTTGTCTTTTGAGAAACCCTCTCATCCAATCTTTTGATGCTATTTTATTTTTAATCCAATTTTCCGGTATATTTTTCTTCAGTGCACAAGCATAGTCATAAGCCATTTGACGCGTTTGCATTTTTGACAGTCCATAATTTAATTTTGATGATGTTGTGAGATACTCTGATATTTTTTTTTCTTCTTCTTTGGTGAATATTTGATTGGATACGAATTTAACAGAAACATCTTTCACAGTACCTTGTTTTAAATATCGTTGAAGATTCGATCTGGGTATGCCATATTTACTTGCAGTAGTTTTAATTTTTCCTCCTTTTGAAACTTCGTCTATTGCACGTAAGATTATCTCTTTAGGAATTTCACGTCGCTTGTTCTTCTTTTTAAATTGAAACGGCATTTTGTCTAAAACAAACTATAAAAATAATCAAATAGTCAACGGTAAAACAAATAATATGAAACAACAAAAGTGTTACACCGAATCACAGTAATGGTGGGAGCATTGGGCATGCCCAAACCTCCTTTCAATATTAGTGCCCAATGCTCCCCATACCCTCGTTTTGCAAATTAATCCAAATATACATTTTATTATTCAAACATTATGTATCAATTTATAGGTTAATATTATCTTCGATAAACACACATTTACGTATAATCAAAGAAACTTACGCCNAATTAAAATTATGTTGACATTTTATTAAAACAATCATATTGCGCATATCCCGTAACCGGCACGGAAGTCGGCACGGACGTCAAAGTTTGCAGCTTGCGAGGTTTCACGCGCACTTCAACTCGTTTGCCAGCTCGAGATTTTATTCTGAACGGCTACATTTAAATGCGAAAGGTAAGCACACGTGGCCAAGTCAGACTTCGCCCGCGAATTGATTGTGAATGGGGTTTACGTTAATATTTTTTGACTGAACCACAGCATATAATAAAATTACAGAACCAGAACAGATAAATTTCAATAGTTGTATTCTTTTAACTTTAACTTTTTAACTGAGAATAACCTTCGAGCATATACTATCGGAGTTAGATGCATTGCGAAAAGTGTGGCTGAGTGTGCGAGAGAGACAGACAATATCTCAGTATTTGGTGTGTCACTCTAGTTTACGAAAGACTTTATTCTTCGCAAATATGTAATAGTAATACATATATGATTATTCGCTTGAACGACGGGAGCCCTGCGGGAGCCAATGAGCGCGACTATTCATTTCCAACCAATCGCGTTACTGTATAATGACCGCCGCGCCATTATTCCATGGCTAGAAATTGGCCTCAATGATTTGGGATCGAGGGGGATTATCCCTCTTTATCCTACCTCATCTCGTGTAGGCCTGGACAGCCTTCGTAGGTGGGCCCCATCCGTCGTCTACCCGACCGCAAATGCGGCCAGTGTAGGCGGTTTGTGGGACCTCCTTTTGTCCTGACTGGGCCCCGCCGGCTAGGGCCCTTTCTTCTGGCGCTCTTCTTGCTTCGCCGGCTCGTCTGTGTAAACCCCGAGGCGCAGAGAAAATATTTCTCTCTTAAGCATAGTAATGATCAAATACAAGATACCAGCAGTTTTCGTTATCCAGTCGTTCATTCACGTTGCAATGCAAACCTCAAGATCGCTAAAGTAGTACGATTTTGAACACAAGAATACACTTATTTAAATTTCATTGGAAATTATGTCTTTTTCGTAGGTATTCGAAATAATTCGACAATCGCAGCCCGGACCAGTTTAGACTTATTCGCGGTTCTCGGTTTCTATCGCAAGCATTAGGGTCGTATGATACTATACTAAAATTAGAACTAATTTCAGTAATTAAATATAATCCTTGGGTGAGTTCAGTACACGATTGCTCATCGAATTGCCATCATCTATTTTCTGAATGCAGCCAAAATTTGAGTAACTGATCGAAATTTAAACCTAAAGAGAACATATGGGCTGGCTAATTCTAATTGTTGCAGAATTTTGCAGAACGATCTGAAAGAGACCATCCTGGACCATCACTTTCTCCCAGTATACTCAAAACAGAAACCATTTTCTCTTAACATTGAAACAACTAATTTGTTTTGCTATTTGAATTTCACATTTATTTCAAATTCGTCGTGAGGAGTGGGTTTTTGGTAAAAAAGCTTGTATCTAAGGAATGCACGCGGCCTTTGAGTCGGTGACTCGCGGGCCGCTGCGGAGATAGGGTACGTCAGGGTCACCGTGAAGTCTTTCCGCGTCCAGAGGCCGCGTCTCCGCGGTATAGACAAAATAGCTATAGTAGGATCATATTCGATGCAAAGTAATAAATCATTGCCTGTCAATAAGGGAACCAATGAAGTACCTACGCTTTTAAGGGTTTTACAAATTGAATAATTTCTTTATACATTATGAAGAGACGAGTTCAGTTCAGGTCTGGCACCCTTATTCCTACAAAAATATATATTCCTTTATTCTCATAAACTATTTATTTTCAATGTAATTTATTATAAATCCAATTTGTTTCCTAAATTCCACATATGTACTACATTTTACCTCTGTATGCGCCACTGTTGTTTACCTGTTTTTTGGAAGCGCTCTCTAATTTACGGCAAAGCTCGCCAGGTTAGTATTTGACGTATAACCGACCAGTTCGTACACTTGATGCACCTGGGCGACTACAGCTACTACCAGAACACAGTGCGTATGCAGCGGTATTTCAGATTTTACATTAAATTTCATTTTAAATTTGAAATGATTTATCTTACGCCTCCTAAAAATAATGACACGATTTTCCTTTGATAAAAGACCGACAACTTTTTGCTCTACTTTGCATCGAATACGATCCTACTATAGTGCTGTAGGTGTAGGTATTTGGAAATTCGAAAGGAAATGTTTGTGGTAGTATTAAAAATATAATGGATAGTATGCACCCACTAAACATTTTTCAGTTTCTGACATGTTTCAGAAACGTTTTCATTTTTCTTGAAACGTTTCATAAAAAATCCATGCAACGTTCCGGTAACGTTCTAGAAGCCCAAGATGTCCTCCCCAAAATACGTTTCCAATGAAACGTTTCAAAAAATTGGTTTCAGTAACATTCTTTTTATGTTCCATTTATGCCCTCGATATGTTTGTTTTACGTTTCAGTATATTTTCAGAAATGTTTGAGTAACATAATAATTTTATTACCATATTGTTCTCATAATGCTCTCAACTTTAGATCATTTTCATTTCAAAAGCGTTTTTGAAATAGTATAAATAGTGTGAGTATTTTTTTAAATATCTCTAATTCATTGTGAATGACTTAATTCGAACTAAAAAAAGTTACATTGTATATTAAAAAAAATAAAATATGCTCTTCTAGTTAGGGGATGCGGCAACTTTTACTATCTTTTTGAGAAGCCACTGAAAAAATTTTTAATATGGATTATGAATTTTGCCATTCATTGTACAAATAAAAATATCACAAAACAATATCAGAAGCATTAAAAAAAAGCTACACATTTTATATAGTTCAAATACGCTTCTGAAATGGAAATTTTCTAATGTTGAGACCTTCATGAATATGGTAACAATGACGAACTGATAATTAGAAAAAGTTAGTTATGATTATGAATCTCAAAATGGTAGGTACATGAAAAACAAATAACATTACTGAAAAATAATATAAAGTTATAATTTCTTCTACGCATGGTCAATATTACATATATCATTTTAATAATAATAAATTATACAGCAGAAATAAGGATACAAAATGATATCTTGACAAAGTAAATATCTGTAGGTATACCTAAACTCTTTTAAGCATGCCTATACACATAAACAAATATAAACATTTGTACAAAATATAAAATAAATGACGTCTATTTCACTTGATTTATCCATATTTCAAATAGTTCTCACTGACTAAGTAGTTGCTCTTCAAATTATATCGAAACGTATAGTTGTTGTTCCATTTTCTTAGTTCTTGTCCCTTGTCCTCTTATCTGTAATAGTAGTGGGTATAACTATATTTAGGTAGATGTGACGCAAATTTGGAAATCTCTTTACACATATCGTTTTAAATATTTTGCATCAATATTCATTATTTTATATGCACCTTACAATAAGCACAACTGCACACACTACAAATTATCACATAAAATAGCGTCAAAGTAAAGATGAATAACAACGAAACCAAGCAAACTGACAAACGGCAAACCTAACCTAACATAATACGAATTGAAACGACACACGGGAAACAAATAAACTCGGGCTGTTACGCGCAGTCTACGCAAGTCACGAACATACATTTTTTCTAGACTTGTGTTATAAATATGCTACCACATTTTTTTTTTCTAATTATGTCTATATAACAAAGGCAAATGAACTAATGCTTGAGAAGGATTGCGGATTGAGAGCAAAATTCAACTAATGCCGAATGTTCCATAAGATAAGCAATAATAGCAAAGGGTTGTTCGTCTGTTATGTTTCCGAGATCGAAAGGTAATGTTTCGAGTAATGTTTCAAACTCCACCCAATTGTAACGTTTCGGCTATGTTTCACTAAATAAGTTTTCAAGTGCTACATTTCTGTAATGAAACAGAAACGTTTCTAGTTAATGTTTCAAATGTTTAGTAAAACATCTCATTTACAACGTTTCATTTACGTTTCGTGTTTAGTGGGCAGCCAAGTATTTTAGTTACATCCTGTATATAATATTTAATTTCATGAAATGAACTTTCTTTATGAGCTGTGGAATGAACTTTAGTGTTCCGTACGAGTTAAATTTTCTATGTTACGTACATACAACATAGAAGTTAAAGAATATTTTGTGGTCTACTACTAGTAGTGATGGGCATAATCACCCAATTTTGATAATCGAGTTATCGGTAATCGAGTACTTCTAATAATCGAGTGATCACTCGAGATACGAGATATTGGTCGTATTAGTAATATATTACTTATAAGCGTAGCTAAAAAAAAAAAAAAGCTCACACACTTCAAAACCTAACCACTTTTTCGTTTTATTCTAAAAAAAGGTTACGCAATCAGTGACTATTTGCAGTATGCACTAACATTTTGGGGTGCAACCGTAGGGTAATAAATACTCGAGTGGTGGGAGCAAACATCTCGAGATATCTCGAGTGATCTCAATAATCGAGTACCACTCGATTTTTCACTCGAAATCTCCCATCACTAACTACTAGTACTAGTGTATGTTTTGTGATTTGTGGTAGACAAAGTATGTAAATGTTTCTAGAAGTACATACCTAAGTACCTACATTAAACATCTTGTGTAGTGGTGAGTGGTGATATCGTTGAACCTTATCAGAAATAGGAGCCACAAGCTACAGTCACAATATTATTGCTTTAAAATATTCTGCGTACGTGACTACGTGACCATTTATCATATTGAAAAATCATGGCAGGTAAGACCTTTACAGTAATATTATTATGTATTTGATTAAATAATGTTTATTTCAGGAAACCCATATAATAAGTATCTGAAAACTTTAAGTCTTGATGGGAAAGATTTAAAATATTACGATTTATCCTCACTAGGTCCTCAATATGGTAAATAATGTGTGTTTGTTTATATTTATTTATTTTTTACTTATTTTTATAGTCTATGAACTTAAAATTTTAGTAGTTAGAGTTTGTGGAAAATTGATTAACACGCTGTCATGGTATATTGCTCTGGAAATAATTAAAATTAGTTAAATCAACCGTAAAAATGAAAACATAACCTTGCCATAATTTTTTAACCGAAACTTCATAATGCAGATGATTGATAAAATTTAAATATGAAAATATTTCATCGTGGCATAACCTATTTATATGTACCTATGTATTTAAAAGTATAAAGGTTGATACTGGTTGTATATACAAATTATTGTAATTTATAGCGTATGTGTATCTTTCGTAATATGTAGGTAATGTTTTTATTTATTTAGATCGTTTGCCATACTCCATTAGGATTTTACTTGAATCTGCAGTCAGAAACTGCGATAACTTTCATATTAAGGAGCAAGATGTACAGAATATTCTAAATTGGGAAAATAATCAAAATGTTGAGGAAGGCATTGAAGTACCTTTCAAACCTGCTCGTGTTATTTTGCAAGTAAGTTAACTGTGGTAAAATAAATGTCTACTTTGCAGGGATGGCACTGACAAAATGACTGAATATAATAATATAAAATTTGGTAAATTACTGTTTTTTAGGACTTCACTGGTGTTCCCGCGGTTGTTGACTTTGCAGTGATGAGAGATGCTGTTAAAAAACTTGGTGGAAATCCAGAGAAAATAAATCCCATCTGTCCTGCTGATCTCGTTATCGATCATTCTGTTCAAGTTGACTTTGTGAGATCGTAAGTAATTTAAAAGGGTGCTGACGGTATCAATAAATTAATACGAATTCTGTTTAGTGCTGATGCATTGCAAAAAAACCAAGATTTGGAATTCGAACGTAACAAAGAGAGGTTTATGTTTCTCAAGGTAAGCATCTATCTATTGTGTTAATTTTATTGTTGTTTTTCAATTTTGTTAGTTCAGGTAATTTACTAACGATTCCTCACATATTTTCAGTTTCAAACTACAATTCTAATACCTAGTCTAGTTATTAAAGAACAGATGTTAGTAGTAATTCTTGTACCAATGCTCAAAAATTTATATTATTTTCTATTGATCTGAATAAACGTAAATTATCAAATAACATGCTCAGTATTTTTCCTATAAATTTAAAATATAAAAATGTAATAAATTGATTAAAATGCTTGGAATATATGTAAAATTGTGACCAAAGAATCTTTTTGTTCGCTATTGTCAAGCTGTATATTGCGTATTTAATAAATTTAATTGAATATTGATTTGCAAGATAACTATTTGTGTAAGGTCATACATTTTTTAAACTCTCACTTAACTGAAAGTAACTGTTTACATTTCAACATATTAACAATTTTGTGATTAGGTTATCTATAATATTTATTTAAAATTTTGAAAACATTACTTTTATCAGGATTTTTAAATATTGTTTATAAATTCAATATTACAGTTATTAATGTATGAGTGGAAATATCCAGATTGTATTATTACTTTAGAACTAATTTCAAATATTCCTTTTAGAGATATATTTTTTTTAATTCAAAGTAGATAATTGCATGCGATTATGATATAGGTAGTCGTTAATATGAAAACAACTGTACGTTTTTTTTTAAGTAATTCCATGTACAATATAACAACATATAAATAAATTGATGCTTCTTCTAGAACATTAGTAGTTATACAGTTTTATATAACTTATCAAAAGGTTAGAAAATATTTTGCAATTATACAATTGTTTTTAATGATTTGTTAATTTTTTTTGTGAATATCGGTATAGTTAAAATTCGAACTTGCATCAAAGTTGTTGAATTACATTTACCCTCTTCTTTCAAGCGACAATTTAATGATACATGTGATGAAAAATTATGAAAAATAATTTGCACATTAGAAAAAATAATATGTAAATTATTTTTCATCACAATCACAAACAGGTCAAATGTAATTCACCAACTTTGTTACAAATTTGAATTTCAACTATACGAATATTCACAGAAATTATTTAACTGTTTCTGTAACTGTTATTAATTATACTTACCTGTCAATAAATACAGAGTGATCTGAATTGCACATACTAAATTTTACTTGGTATTAGAATACCTCAAAATAAAAAACTTTCTACTTTTTAAAAAGGTTTAATGTAGGTTGATATAACCTAGGAAAATAACTTTAATTGTGGGTAAAAATTGTGCAGCTGCTAGAAAATTGATGTATGGTAAAAATATCGAAGTATCCATAACTTTTTTACATTCGTGCAATAACATATATTTTTCAGTTGGTTGCTGATACTATTTGGAAGTAATTTTCATTAAATGAGGGGTTTGGGTACAAAAATTTTTTTTTAAATATCTACATATCTTCAACTATACTACAATACTTAATAAATTGCTAATAGGCACTGATTTTTTATTTTTCTGTGTCCAACCATACATAGACTGGAATCTCAAGGAGTAGGAGAATGCATACTTAAACAAATGACTGCTCTGCCGAAACATTTTTAGGATGAACTAATCCAACCTTCTAGATACTTGGGGATATAGTTTGAATCTGTTTGCTACGTAATATTATAGCGTTATCGACTTGCACTTATGCACTCAGTACGCAGGGTATATCTTATACTATCAGCTTGAATAATAAAGGATGGAGATACAACTTTAAGCTAAGGGTTCCCAATTCTGTTTATTCAGTATTATAAATCTAATAATATTTAATAATTAAAAATTGTTTTATAGGATAAAACCACGTGTGTTTACTTACCTCCAAATCATTAATTGGAAAAGGTCAAAGTCTTATCATTTTAAGTGCTTTTACAGATGTCATAACACTAAAATATTTCAAAATGGAAGAAATAGCTAACGATTTCTAACATGACGTCACCATGACATGATCTAAATAGACATCAAAAATGATAAAACGATAGTGATTTATACAGTATTCAAGTACTTCATCCTAAAAATGTTGTAGGGTGTCCCAATCGCTTTAGCGGTTCTTTGCCCACCCAGTAAATATTCTATAATAATGTGTCTTATATGTGACAACCCTCAAACCTTTGCTAAATCGTTAAAATTAAGTTTATTTTAAAAAGTATTAGGTGCCACTTCCTTCACTCATATAATTAAAACAAAAGTGAAGTTGTAAAAATGTAATATTTTAATAACTACAAATTTAATGATGGAAAAATGTTCAAAATAGTCTCCATTCACAACCTACATATGTATATGTGAAAATATTTTCTTAACTTGAGATGTTCTATTGAAGTAAAATGTAGAAATAAAGAAAAAATGTATTACATAATGTATATACAGGGTATCCCAGAATAACGTGTACAACAGAAGTTCACAGATTCATGGACTCACAATAGGCAGATTTAGACTAATTCACCTATATCCGAAATCGCTTTGTTTAGCCGCTAGATGGTCTCCAAGTTTTTTTAATTTTTGTAAATAACTCGAATATGTGCTAATCGATTTTAATTATTTTTAGGGTGTGGACTTTTGCTTTAAATTTACAAATTTTGGTGTTATACAGAGTGTTTTTTAAAAGCCACAACTCCTGCAAAGTTGATGTATAGTGATAATAACTGTTCATAGCTTTTTCTTCTCTCGGAGAATAATGACAACAATTTTTTATTTGATAGGCGATACCATTTGGAAGTTTTTAGGCCTCTTATAGAAATTTGATTATATGAGCAGTTTGGATACAACAAATATTTCTTAAATGTCTACGTTATCTTGCGATCCACATTAGAATACTTAACAAAGTGCTAGTAGTCACTGATTTTGTAGGTTGACTGTAGTTTCAGTTTGAACTTAAAGTCATTGTAAATGTCAATTCTCAATGAGTGTTTACTACGATAAAATATACCACATTACTTCCTTTTTCGCTATGGATACACACATACAATGAATTAAGAGTTATTTACGTGCCTAATTTTATTGAAATTATTCATAAAAACAATCAAATAGATTTAAAAATGCTAGAGATAAAAGTAACAAAGTTGATGTCATTAAATTTAGTATAACTTATTATAAAAACTATTCAAAATGACCACCATTGTTTCTACAACAAAGATTAATTCAGCGAAGAAAGTTAAATGACACCCTTTGCAGTTCTTAAGGGCTATTTGTTAAAACATTTATGGTATTTTGGATATGCCTCCACAACTCTTCTTCAGTGTTAGATGTGGAGGCATGCACTGTTGTTTTCAGAGTGCCTCAAAGATAATAGTCGCAAGTCTGATGAACGTACAGGCCAGATAGAAACATTATCTACCGATCCATTGAGGAGGGAATCTGGTTCAGATACTGCCGGACATTTACAGTAAAATGTGGTGGAGTGCCATCATGCGTGAACCACATGTTAGCTCTGAGTAATAACCACATCTTTCAATAACTTGTGTTTTGCAAAAATTCTAAATAAATTTGCCCATTCAGTCTATTGGATAGAATAACAGAGCCAATAATAATGCTACCAATGATCCCAGACCAAACATTGATGCGAAAATCATGCTGATAATGTTTCACTTTGATAGCATGTGGATTTTCTTGAGCATACACATGTTCATTGTGAATATTTATTACTCGTCTTCTACTAAAACAGAATTGGCAGGTACAATGATTTAAAGATCAAACTGAAATTACAGTCACCTACAAAATCATAGCCTACTGGCACTTTGTAGTATTCTGTGGCCAGATAATGTACACATTTAAAAAATATTTTTTGTACCCAAACCGCTCATTTAATTAAAATTCTACAAGGGGCCCAAAAACTTCCAAATGGTATCACCTATCAAATAAAAAATAGTTGTCATTATGTCCTGAAAGAGGAAAAAAATTATCAACGGATATTCTCACCATACATCAATTTTATAGGAGTTGTAAGATTTAAAAAACACTGTTAACACCAAAGATTGTAGGTTGAAAGCAAAAGTCCACACCCCAAAAATAATCAAAATTGAATAATACGTATTCAAGTTATTTACAAAATTCAAAACATTTTCATCAACTTTGAGGCCATCTAGCGGCCAAATGAAGCGATTTTGGATATAGGTGAATTAGTCTAAACCTGCCTATTTTGACTCCACGAATTTGTGGTCTTCCGTTGTACACGTTACTCTGGTACACCCTGTATAATCAACCAATAAATTACAAATAATAAAAATAAATGACACATTATTTTTTAACATTAGGAATAAGGGTATACAAGATGTCAAGATTGTCTCGCACAACGCACAATTCAATTTATTTAGTGGTGCAATATTGGTGTTGGCTCTATTTAAGTAGCTAAAATGTTTCTCAGAATCGTGTAGTTGCTATAGGAAATTTAAAATTGAGTGTGTAATATTCCTAGTACCTTATCAAACATTTCATTTTTTTATGAACATGTAATGAAATGCACTATGTAAAAAAATGTCTAAAGGGGATTTTACAAGATAGCTTTAGAAAAAAATTTTCTATCACGCGCACTCGCTATGGGTCCTATAGTGTAGGGGGTTAGGTGCACGGAAATGGCTAGATAGTACAACAACGTGATGTTATTTTCATAGCGCATTGCTGGAGCGTTGCGCTATGAAAATAACATCACGCTGTTGTACTATCTAGCACTTTCCGTGCACCTAATCCCCTATGCTATAAGTCCCGTAACGACTCGCATTTGTGATAGAAAAATAGTATGTGCAACTCGTTCGGGAAAGTTGCCATAGCGCCACTTGGGCGCTTTCCGCACTCGCTTCGCTGGTGCGTCAACTGCGTCCGTGTGGCGCTATTGGCAACTTTACCCCACTCGTTACACAATGTACTATCGTTTTCTTTTATTTATTAATATGTACATAAATAGGTATAACAATCAAAACAAATTCCTTTTACGAATAAATTTGTTAAAAATTTTTCAGTAAGTACAGCTTGCAAAAAAGTATGAGAATCGACAATTTATTTTCAGTGGGGTGCCAAAGCATTCAACAACATGTTAATTGTACCACCAGGAAGTGGTATTGTACATCAAGTTAATTTGGAATATCTAGCTCGTGTTGTTTTTGTTGGACAAGACTCTATTTTGTATCCCGACACGCTGGTAAGTAAATGAATGTATAGTTTTTTATTTATACATTCAGAATATCGCTAAAACATGATGCAAAACTGAAACAAGAGATTTTTTTTATTTTAAGTAATAAAGTTTCTCATTAGCAAAGGTCCGAAAATGTTTGGTATAACAGTTATAGGAAAAGTGCACAGAGAAACTACAAAATAACAGATCAGATACAAATGAGGCTCACTATAGGTCTTTATATTATCAGTTTCAATAATTTTTGTTAATTAATAGTTTTTTCTTCACTCACAGTGACTGAACTCAGGATAATTGAGAGTTTTTATCGTAAAATTCTATGTAGTAAAATAATTTATTTTTCTGAAAGAGAATGTTAAAAAGCATTCATGTTTGCAATAAAAAATTTTATATACTTTGAGGTAATCTCAAAGTCAAAAGTGGCATATACTGCTTTCAGATGTTACAGATACATTATGCCAATTCAAATTAAAAAATTTATAAAACATTGGTACTACAATCTATCATTTCTCACATATAATATGCCTTTTTTAAAATTTTAAAGAAATCCATGGACTTTTGATTTTTCCAAATAAAAAATGGGCTACATCGTCTGCCTCTGTATAGGAAAAAAAAGAAAAAATTATTCCTACATAAGATTACAATTGATGATCTAAAAACATGTTTGGGGTTTGGCAACCTGGATAACCATTTTGGAGTTATCTAAAAAAATTGTTTTTTAGCAGTATATATTATATTTCACTTTCTTACTGTTTTCAGATCCATGATCATAGAAATTTTTTGCCCTAAATGAAATTTTACTGCTATTTCAACTTGGCACCATATTTTAGAAAAACTAGTTCAAAATTTATACACCATTTTAATAAAATTAATAAATACATTACAAATAATTTTTGCATATTCTAGGTTGGAACAGACTCACATACTACCATGATCAATGGATTAGGCGTTTTAGGGTGGGGTGTTGGCGGTATCGAAGCAGAAGCTGTCATGTTGGGACATTCGATCAGCATGCTTTTGCCGCAAGTGGTTGGATACAAGCTGTATGGGGAGTTGAATCAATATGTGACATCTACGGACCTAGTTTTAACCATTACTAAAGTACTAAGTTACTGTTTTTCCTGTGTGAGGTGGTCAATAAATTCAATCATGATTTTAGAACTTGCGTCAGCTAGGAGTAGTTGGGAAGTTTGTTGAATTTTACGGACCTGGAGTTGCAGCTCTGTCAATCGCAGATCGTGCCACCATTGCGAATATGTGTCCCGAATATGGAGCCACTGTTGGGTTTTTCCCAGTGGACGAAAATTCTTTAAAATACTTAAAACAGACAAGTATGCGATAGCACTTTATTATTTTCACAGATTTTAATCAATTTAATTTTTTAACAGACCGTTCCGAGAATCAAATACGGTTGATTGAAGCTTACCTTAATGCCACTAAGCAGTTACGTAATTATTCTTCAGGGGATAATGAACCCGTTTTCTCACAAAGTGTGGGACTTGACTTGTCCACGGTGGTGTCTTCTGTTAGTGGACCCAAAAGACCTAATGACAGGGTGTCTGTTTCTGACATGAAACAGGATTTCTTCAACTGTCTAACAAATAAGGTAAGGATTTTTTGACTCGGATATTATGCATTTAGTTTTGTATTTCTGTTCAATAAGGCCTAGAAACAATTTTTTTAATATATATATTTTCAAACAAAAAATTGTTCATGTTTTTTGTTTTTTTTTCTTGCAAATATTGGGTGATTTTAAACATATTGAGTTGCCCAAAAATTAAAAAAGTAATTTTGAACTGAAACAAGGTAAAATGTATTTATTTATATACAGGGTGTTTATTAAGTACTTGTACAAATTTTAAAGGGTGATTTTTTGATTAAAAAGTTCATATGAACACGAGTCCGCAACGGCTTGATTCTTGAGATACAGGGTGTCCAAAAAATTTTTTTGGTATTTTGATTATATTTTTGGTTTTGCCAATTTTTATTTTTTTGTAAATTTGTAAACTAATAGTATAACATATCACATGACTCTTTTTCACTTATTTTTCAAAAACTCTATGATTTAATTTAAAAAATTCCAATGTAAGTTTAACTTTAAACCCGTTTTTTTTACTGAGGGTACTTTTTGTATGTAAAATTAAAAGAAGAATAGGTATGTTTAGTCCACAATGACACAGTGCGACACAAAAATATTTAATTTTATATTTAAATCTAGGTACACACTGTATGTGGCACCCTGTACCATTAAACAAAAAACTGTGTAAATATTTGAGTTTCTCATCATTTATACTCCCTGTTTCCCGAATTCCGTCAAATTGCCATGTTATTAAATAAAAATATAATCAAAAAACCAAAAAAAAATTTTTTTTGGTTGCCCTGTATCTAAAGAACTAATCCGCTACAGATCCTGTTTATATGAACTTTTTATTTTAAAATTAGTCAAAGATTCAACCTTTAAAGTTTGTACAAGTATTTAATAAACATCTTGTATAGTAGCAGAAATAGTATATCCTAAAAAAAAAAAATACATTGTACCACCAGTGGTACTTTTTGGAGGATGATTCTTAGCTTCCATACAGTCTGTATGATATTGGTTGAGATAGAATTCCAAGAGGACCCCTGCGTTACTTTCTTGGAATTAACCGCATTCAACACCTGAGATTGAAAGACATTCACCATATCAGCTTGCATGCATACTGTGTTTTGCAGTTACGAACGCGTGTTTCTTTGATTCTTTTCTTGGAATTCTATCTCTTAACTACAATATTTATCTCGTATTTACAATATATTGTAAATATGTAATTGTATTATTAGTACTATGTAGTCAAAATAAACTATTATTATTATCTCAACAAATATCGTACGGATTGTAGACAACTTCCACGAAAAAAGTTGAAATAAAGATAGCCTCTTTTCAGATCTCAAAAATGGTTGCATGTGTATATAAAATAAATTTTTTTCATAATCAACTTTTACAAAATACAAACGGATGTTTTTTTATTTCTCACAAAATTTTTATTTTTCTTAAAATTACCCATAAGTAGTTACAAAAAAATTAAGTGTTATGAAAAATAAAGAGAATACTTGTACTAGTTAATTATGGAAAAAAAATATATTTTCCACATCTACTCACAACTCTTCGAGATGCTAGGGGAGACTACCCCAATTTTAATTTCTTACTATGAGAATTTTGTTAAAGATCTTTGTCATTAAAGTTTTTTATAAGCAAAGAAATCATCCTCTAAACCAGTGATTCTCAAAGTTTTTGAACATGCGATCCCGTCTTAGAAGATCAGATGATTGCTTGTGATCCCCTTTCCTCCCCTGCTCTACACTTCTTATTCACATTTAAAAGTTCAAAATAATTTTAATTGAAACAATGAAAATTTTAACCTAATGCAACAATTACAAATTGTCCAATAAGTTCCTGTGCACAGGTATACAGGCTGTTATAAATTCGCTTCTCACTACAGGGATCTCGGAAACGGCAAAAGGTACGAAGTAGCTTAAATGGGAGCAAAGCATAGTCAGGGGACCAACAGAATGCCTCTAAAAAATCAAGGCTAACATGATTTGTTTTCGAAATATTTGAAAAAAAAAATGAAATTTTGGAAATTGTTTTTGTTTAATTTCAGCCTTGTTTGAGGTGATACTGAAAAAAGAAGAACACTTTCTCATGGTACCTTTTTGCCCTCTATCGAATAGCGTAATCGATTTTTATATGTAACGTTTCGTCTCTCCAGGACCATCATCAACCTCATTTTTTTAAATATGACCCTGGTAATTTTATTACATTTTTGCAATCCTTCATGACCCTCCAATACTCTACTACCAAAGCCCGAACCAGATTCAGACGTTTTGTCTCGAAAAATTCATCTTCAATGTATTTGTTCCAATATCTCAAATTTTATATTTAGATTTTCTATGTCTATTGAATTATCGTACACTCTGTGTCGTTAGACCCTGTAAAATCCACCTAGTTATTTAAACTATTACCATCACACATTACAATAAAACATTATTTAGAGTTTTAATCTTCATCACCTGGTCATACATAACTCGATAAGTTGTTGCGTCAAAATTGAAACATTATTACAATTTTAATTTCATTATGACAAATTAATTGTTAAAAATGCATAGAAACAACCAAAACTTCAAATTAATATTATATCTTAAAAAATAACAGTAAATATGTTCAAAAATGTTTCCGTTTTGGCAAATATTGAAAATCAAGATAAGAATATGATCGGAATTTATTATACATGTAACCGCAACTGTGAAAAAGCATGTCAGATGTATTTGTATGAATATCCTGAAAAAATTAGATTGAAATTTGTTTGAATTTTGAGCACTCGAGAACCCTAAAAATAACAGCACGGGATTAAAAGTCTAATAATGTTTTATTGTAACGTGTGATGGTAATAATAACTAGGTCGATTTCACAGGGTCTAACGACACTTAGAGTGAGCGATAACTCAATAAACATAGAAATCTTTAAAAAAATCAGATAAATTTAGAACAAATACATTGAAGATGAATTTTTCAAGACAAAACGTGTGAATCTGGTTAGGGCTGAGGCAGTACAGTATTGGGGGTCATGAAGGCTTGCAAAAAATGTAATAAAACTTCCAGGGTCATATTTAAAAAAATGAAGTTGATGATGGTCCTGGAGAGACGAAATGTTACATATTAAAATTGATTATGCCATTTGATAGAGGGCAAAAAGTTGCCAAAAGTTTTTAAATATCATCTCAAACAAGGCTGAAATGAATCAAAAACGGATTTCCAAAATTTCAATTTTTTTTTCAAATACATATTTCGAAAACTAATCTTGTTAACCTTGATTTTTCAGAGGCATAATGTCGGTTCCCTGATTATGCAACTTTGCCCCCATTTAAGCTACTTCGTATCTCTTACGATTTCCAAGATCCCTGTAGCGAGAAGCGAATTTGTAACGGTCTGTATATACACTATGTTGTATACTTAGATATTTGCATTTTCGACATCTGGACAACAGCTTTATATTTTTGTCTCACTGGCATTAAAAACTTGTCGAACAGACAATTATCTGTGAATATAGGCATGTATTATATACATTCTATAACTTTGTAACTTGATATTTGTGTCTATTGCTTAATTAAGTTTTTTCAGTTTGAAACACCTTAATTGAATATTTTTTTATGGAAACTTGATGACTATCAGATAAGGGTAATAATAAGAATTTAGAAAGTTGTATCTAATTGGCATGAATTCCAACTAAATTACAATTTTTTTTTTTTGATAAAATGTTTAAATAATAATTTTCTTGCTGACGGTTTAGAACACTTGAATTGGAAGAAAACAAGGTGCCATGAATTAGTATCTTTTTGCTTTTAAATTATTTTGTCTTTGATGATATATCGAAATGAGACTGAAAAACAAATTGGAATTTTAAAATTATAGAATTGTATAATTTTCAAATGCAGAACTATTATTTCTCTACACTAAGTTAAATCGAATTAATTAATAAATACACTCCCGCAGTAACTAAAGTTGAAGAATGAACTGTAGATTTAAGCACTTTCCAAGAAACAAGACATTTTTTATGTTTTTTTTATATATATTTATATTAATATATTTTGTAAAACCTTTAGCGACCACTGCTCTAGCCACCACTGATAGTCACTGTATAATTTACGCTTTCAATTAAACTATTGCTTCCAAAACTAATCCTATAAGGGTGAAGATTTGATATGTTTGTATAAGATAGAAAAACACTAAAGAGATTTCAAACAATTATATTTTGATATTTGTCAAAACATATTTATTCAATTAATGACCATTTAATGATGGAATAACGATAAATCGATGTGAAAATCAATGTTTGCAGATATACCATTTCATTTAATCTGATTGTGAATGTAAAGAAAAATAAATAAATAAACTTCGAAGATCAACTATCAAATATGGCGTCAGAATATTATAATACTAATATTTTATAATGTCTTATACAAGTTAATAATATAACAATAGATGCAACAATATTAATATTTTCAAAAATTTATTTATTAAAGAATGCTAAAATTTTTCTATTTATTTATTTTTGGAATAATTTCATATTAATACATTTTTTAGAGGAGCACTTCTAATGTAATTTAAATGATTTGCTACAAATTTTTAGAAATAAATCCCCTAATGGTTGAAATTTTAACAATTTTGTCTGTTCTAGAAGGTTTAGGACTCTACGGATCAAAATAAGATTATTTAGACTAGTTTATCTATAAACAAATGTCAATGTCTTCTGAGATATTATAGCCTGTTGAATGTAGTACCATAAGACATTTTTTATTATCACTTTATTGTCATAAAAATAGTCTCCTAGTTGTTTTAGATAGAGACGTCTTTGTTTATTTGAGTGTAATATATTTATTGAATATGTAAGGAACTAATACACTAGGTGTATTTTTTTTTGGGGTACCCACATTATAAATTTTTGTATTTATCTCTTGTGAATTTTTAATATCCTATAGATTTCAACTAACACAGATTCGGTATAGAATGTGATGAAATATAAGGTATTTTAGAATTATATACTTTTGGAGGAGCAATTATTGTTCACATAAAAATGAGAAAAAAGGTTGTATGGACTTGCTTCCTAAAGTATTCTGGATATGGCAGAAAAATCAACAAATTTTTTAGGAAAAATATTTAAACATCCACAACACTCTTAGGAACCTGTCATAAATTTTTTCATATTTTTTACCAAATAATTCTTCAAAATATAAAAGTGGAATTCTCGAATATGCTGTATATTCATCACATTTGGTGCTGAAGATATATTGTATTTTACCCGTAAAATTTGACAAGACAAATATTTTTTAGAAAATTTTAATTAAATATATAATATAAAGAAAGTTAGGTGGTTAAAAAGTATTAAAAATCTAAAAGAATATCATCTTGTATACAGGGTGTGCCATTTAACACTCCAGCTGCCAAAACAGTGCAACCTCTTTAATCCGAACACCACATTGTCAGGCATTGTTCGTATTATCGAATCGTTCGGATTATCGAACATACTATAAAGATTTGTACATATGTATATTATGTAAGTACATACACATTTCATTATAACAATATAAATATAAATCATATAAAATACATAAAACTTATATATAAGGTAAAACATAAAGATGTAGTTACATATACATATATGTATTATTTTACTCTTTTCACATTGTCTGTTCTTCTTACTTCCAAAAAAACTCCAAAATTGTTACACAAAACACGACACGCAACAGATTCTTCGCTATCGGCAAACAAACTGACTGCCGATTACGCGCGTACGCGCGAAGCGATCCAATCTTTTCTTGTCATCATTCAGATTTGGCCGTTCGGATTAGCGTGTGATCGGATTAAAGTGTGTTCGGATTAAAGAAGTTGCACTGTATCTCTGAAATGAAGAAATTTATTTTAGTTCCAGAAATTGGGGTTGTTAGGTCCCTAGAATAGCTTCAAATTGTAGTTAGAATTGTTAGTTCAAATCTTTCTGTATAGATGGCGTGGCGATACTAAAAAATTTTTTGTTCCCTGGAAGGTGAAAATATAGTCCATCTGAAAGATTGTTAAATTTTGAGTAATTTTTGTAATATAAAGTTTTTCCCAATTTTGTTTTCGAGACATGTCGACTTCAATATGCAATGTCGTATGATGTAACAGGAAAATCTATTATTTTATTTAAATTACACTGATACAAAATATTATGTTAAAATATTGTCATAATGGCTTTATTCACATTACGTATTAACTAACAAACAATAAATTATAAAAAAAAAACTATTGATCAACTACAGAATACGAACTGTATTTTATCAAATATTATTAAAAAATGCAGTCATAGGTGACTCATGTCATTTGTTTAAAATAAAACAATGACAGATGACACATATTAGTTTTCCAATAATTACAGTTTTATCAGCTTGCGTCTTTCAATTTAACTATACTAGTTATACGTTTTTACCATCGTACAATTTTTTTTCTGTAGTTGATAATTTGTTTTTTTATAATTTATTGTTTGTTAGTTAGTATATGGTGTGAATAAAGTCATTATAACAACATTTTAAAAGAATATTTTGTCTCAGTGTGATTTAGATAAAATAATAGATTTTCCCGTTATATCATACAATGCATATTGAAGCCGACATATCTCGAAAACAAGTAAATATAAGGAAAAACTTTATATTATAAAAATTACTCAAAATTTAACAATCTTTCAGATTGCAGGGAACAAAAAATTTTTTAGTATCGCCACACCATCTATACAGAAAGATTTCAACTAACAATTCTAACTACAATTTGAAGCTATTCGAGGGACCTAACAACCCCATTTTCCAGAATTAAAATAAATTTCTTCATTTCGGAGATATTGGCAGCGGGAGTGTTAAATGGCACACCCTGTATATTGTTGTCTAAAATATCGAAAAAATATATTACACTCAAATAAAAGAATATATGTACCAAATAAGAAGTCTAGCTAAAACAAATTAAAGTGATAAAAATGTTTCATAAAACCGCATTCAGGCGTTGATTTAGTCGAAAATCCAAGAAGTCTGTGATTGAGCACTTACAACGCTTCCTTATTATAATAAAGTTTAATTTAAATATTTTTGGTCCCATCTGAAAAAAGTCATTATTAATCAAGTCATTCAGTTCAATTCAGTGAATCAAGAGTCTACTGTTACTTCTCGTAAAGTTATTTTAAAATTACATTTTTCATATCAAACTAGACAAAGTATGTCCTAAAATAAAACTAAAGCTGCTAAATATGAATTGTTTGATATCTGTAGCTTATTTTCACACTTTTTGTTGTTGATTGGTTACTAAACAATTTCTTTATTGAATCTAGCTTTATGATTCAAATGTTCATTAAAGCCAGATCACCAAAGAAAAATTATAGCAACTTTCTCACAAAATAGTCATTATCAAGTTATATTAAATAAATTCAACTTCACAATATTCGTAGATGTAATTTTTGTAGTAAGACAAACTCCTACCCAGTGATGATTCATAACAACATCAAACTGAGTAAAGTGTGTCTTACAGCAAAAGCGTGTATTTTTTTCTTAATGTACAGAGTTCAATCTCAACCAAATAGTTCCTACCTACCTAATAATGAGCTTATTTTTATAAAACAATATAAGAAGTGAAGATATCACATTCTGCAATAGGACAAACTTCTACCCAGTGATGGTAAATTAAAGCATCAGACTGAGCAGAGTCTATCCTATTCCAAAACGCATCAGTAATGTTATATCCCAATAATTGCAGATCTTTCTTTAGTAAAAGAAAGTAACTACAGCTGTGATATGTTGTATAAACCATATCACACCAATAGTTCCTTAATTCTCCAAAGAATTAAAAATTACACAAAGCCATTAGTCACAATGTTCTCACTATTTGTTGGTTACCAAAATACTTCTTTATTGAATCTAGCTTTATGATTCAAATTACCATTAAAGCTAGATCACCAAAGAAAAAATATAGTAACATCTTTGATAAGCACACTTAACTGGTGATGGAAAGTTTACTGAGTGATATTTATATGCTAATGGTAGGGGGTGCAACCCCCTCCTCATTAAAGCCCTATTGGTCATTAACTAACAATTATCTGTAATTTATTAGTCTAAGTGTATAGACAATTATTTTAATGTTTTAATTTTATCAACATTGTTTGCAAATCATGCTCCTATTATTATTGCCACCGATAATTTTTTACTTAATTTTATTGTTTATCTTCAAAATCATTAATGTCCTACGGATGTTTCAAATATTCTAATTCTGAGTTGTCAATGAAAAGAAATAGGTTTTTTTTTAACTTTGTTTGTTGAAAAATGTGTCCAAATAAAATTAACTTGGAATTATTTTGAATTCCTGTAAGACATTAATTTCAAAATAATCAAATTACTTCTCTTAGTCTACCTGTTATATTATAAATAATAAAAATATATGAACGAGAGTATGAAGTGTTACATCCCCCAAACAGGTAGTACTCAATCATCCCAAAAATATATTCAAATATGTAAAGCGGGTCAAGTTAGTAGCGCAAAAAATATGTTCACATTAATGTGAAAAATAGAAATAAGAATGTACATAAGTATGATCAGTTATAATATCACAAGAGCATAGAAAATATTCGATTATACTTCCGAGTCACGAGACGTATTCTGCGAAACACCACGACAGTGTAGCTGGAGTGGTGTTTTAAGGATATACGTCGAGTGAGGAGGTTAGTATAATCGAATATTTTCATTTGCTCGAGTGGTATTTGATACGATTATATAATTCAGAGCTTGAACCGAAGCGTTCCATTTTTTTTTTACGTTTATTGACAAATGTTAAAACTATCGTTACCATGACATAGTTCACATTGTTGGAGGAGGCGAAACACCAAAACGGTTATACCACGTCGTCAAGAGTATAATCGCTTATCAATACATAGCAACTACGTAAAATTTGTAATTGCTATTGGCTAAATTTCTAATGAATTATATAATCAATAAAATGTAACACTGTTAATTGAAAAGCAATATAAAATAAATATAGAACATAGTGAAAAATGAACAAATATTTAATTTTTTTTATTCCAAAATAATACACTAGATATTGTATTAATATTCTAACATCTAAATTTTTCTAAATTCAGAAGACGATTCAAGAAACCAAATTTTCTTCGTGTATCTTAACAGAAAAATCGTAAAATTAAATTTTGAAATTATTAATTATTTAGTATTATTAATGCATTACTTACTCACTAAGTGAACTTATTTACTTGTAGAAACTTGTTTCGTCACATTATTCAGTTCAAAATCTAAATTTATTCAGGGTTCAGGGAATGGAATTTTTATGTCTTCGATATTATAATTCTGTTTAATCTAAGTACTAGTAATTTGTTGCATATTTTTATTGTTTATAAAACAGATAGTGAAATAAAAAACACTTCTATTTCTAAATCATAAACATTAATTGTTTATAAATAACTTTTACATGAATGCCTTAAATAATCATTTTCTGATTTTGGTAATGACCTACTTATTATTTGCCTAATTATAGTTTTATTACCAGACATATTTTCTACCTCTATTTATTTGGTACCTGCACTTTAATAAAGGGTCCATTTTTAGATCAATATTTAATTCTATAGGCTAATTACACTTCTAATAAATTTATTTTTAAATGAAGTGCGCGCAATTTTAATGATCACATTAAAAAGTTTTTATAAAAATTAATTTGTAAAAAGTTGTAACTTTTATTATAACAGTTTGTCACTATATTTTATTATTACCACTTTTAAAAAGAAACTACTTTTATCTAAACTAAGAGAGAGAATCAATATTAATAATTATTTAATAGTTCTATGTTACTGTTATGTTACTAGGCCGGTTTAACAACCACGACTATTGCAAATAAATATTTTTTTAGATTGGTTTCAAGGGATTTGGCATATCTCAAGAAAAACTCGTATCCAAAGCAAAATTTATGTTTGATGGGACCCAATATGAAATAACCCATGGGAGTGTAATAATTGCGGCAATAACTTCATGTACAAATACAAGCAATCCAAGTGTTATGCTGGGAGCTGGTCTCCTTGCTAAAAATGCTGTAGATGCAGGTCTAACGGTGGCTCCTTATATAAAAACGAGCCTCTCTCCTGGTTCAGGAGTGGTCACATATTACCTAAAAGAATCTGGTGTTATTCCTGCTTTAGAACAACTCGGATTCAACATAGTTGGATATGGTTGTATGACTTGTATAGGAAATAGTGGTGGAATAGATGAGAACATTGTCAATGCAATCGAAGAGAATGATTTAGTTTGTTGTGGTGTCTTGTCTGGAAATCGTAATTTCGAGGGACGTATACATCCTAATACTAGAGCCAATTATTTGGCTAGTCCTCTGTTGGTTATTGCCTATGCAATTGCCGGTAGAGTTGATTTTGATTTTGAAAGTGAACCTTTAGGGCAAAAAGCAGACGGTAGTCCCATTTATTTAAGGGATATCTGGCCCACCCGCAATCAAATTCATACTGTCGAACAGCAATATGTTATTCCAGCAATGTTTAAAGAGGTCTATGCCAAAATTGAGACAGGTAAGTGACCACGGTAGTTTCAATATAATTTAGATTAGTTAAAATATAATTTATATTTAGTTTATTACTACAGATTTACTAAAAAGAAATTATGATTAATTAGACACAATACCTCCTAATACTTGACCCTCTGTTTATGAAAACGGTAGTAGAAAATTTATATCTATTTTTCTCTGAAGCGATGCACTTTAGTGACAAATAACACGTATATTTTTTTGAAGTGACATTTCATAAGACACATTTTCTCAAAATCTCTTAATAAAAAAAAGACAAGAAAAAACAGAAGATTGTTTAAGGTGTTGTGTTCTTGTTCTTAGCAATCAAAATTGTTTTAAGTAAATATTAAGCTTATATTCATATTCAGCTATCCCCAAAAACACCTTATTACAAGTTTACTTGAAATATCTTAAAAAGTTGAGGTAATATTAAATAAAAATAGTTTCCACTTTTTAAGGATGCAAAATTTTTTTAAGGTAATTTGATTTAAATTGTCTATTTACATCTCATTTTATTTTGTGACCATATAAAATCTAGTTTCTATTGAACTATATAATTAAAAAATACCGGAAAATTTTTTAGCATTGGTTAAAAGAAGTATTGGTGTTTTACACAATTTCAATTCTTGTCTATGTAGTCTTATAATAATTTATAAGATTAAAATTGATGAACTTTCTACTCAGTATGTGTTAAATATTCAAAATTACAAAATGCGTTTATAATTATGTATGTATGTTTTTTATAATTTTATATTTAACAATTTCATTTTTGTCACTGCTTATAAGAGTTATACGGACACATTCTAAAATGTATTTAGTTTTTCTTTATAACTAGATTTTTTTTGTGTCTGTATAGAAATGGCACGTTTTTGATATCAGTACATGAAAATAAATTTACATTAGGAGTAATAACAGTGTATGTAAATATTTTTAAATCGTATTTACATTCATTTATCTATTTTAAAATATATTTGTATTACGGAATGTGCACCTATTATATCCATATTGTTTGAAAGAAAGTAAATATTAGTGTTTAAATAGAAAACTAGAAGTATTCACTGAAAATGAAACTTATATAAGATGCATTTTAGGCCTTTGAAAAGATAAGATATTTGAACTTCAACTCTGATTATGAAGTCTAAAAATTATTTTTTTAAAGTCTTGCTTCTTGGTTGAAATTTAAATAGTCCCATTTAAGTCCCACTGTAACTATAACTTTTTTGTACTATAATTCAATTATTTTTTTTTTCAAGAGGTGCATATCATTGAATTTAATAATACAAGCAAAAAGTTAACCCGGCAAATGTAATGTCACTTAAAATACATAATAATACAGGGTGTAGCACTACAACTCTTCAAAAATAAGAAGCTGTTTTGCTCAAGCAAATTTTATTGTGTTTATATAAACATTTGTTTTTGTATCCTTCATTTTTAATCATTTTTGCATAACTGAATGTTTTGGTAAAAACATTTATATACATATTTCATAAACGGAGAATTTATTTTAATAATGTTTTTAAAATATGATTAAGTGTCGTATCTGTGCTGCGCTACACTTTTTGAAACACCTTCTCACATATCCTTTTACTTTCTTTTAAAACTTTTATGGCCTGTACCTTAAAAACAAGGGCTTCAAGGAAATATTTTTAAATTTAGGTTTCTTCATTTTTGACATGCCGCATATAAAAAATTGCAAAAAAATTATTTTTCTTTTCAAGTGACATGCTATATTTTTGAGAAAAATGTAACCAGCATATTTTGTATTCGGGTTTGAGTTGAGACTTGCTCATATTAATACTCAGATTCATATGGCATAAATTTTTGTAATGTTCATAAAAAATTATTTCCGGGCTAATAAAAATATTGTTATTGCAGATTATATATTAAAAAGTATCCTTTAATGTTTTTATAATTTTATTAAAATATTTGAACCTAAACATTGATGAACCAAAAACGTAATTAAATTTTCTTAGGTCGTACAACTCTTGTAATAATTTTTATTATAGAAAAAAATATCACATTTTTCTGTTTTTTGATATTTTAGGTGATATTGCATTTGAGACAGTATATTTTATTGGTTGCTAATCTAAATGAGCTCCATCTTTTGAAAAAATTTGCCTCGAATCAAACAAAAGTTATAATGGTCTTATACAGGGTCGGAAAGTCCCCATGGTTCATCAGCTGTTACGTGAGAGCGATAAAGAAAGTCATAGAAATCCGTGTGATAGAGAAATATGGCTATAATGAAGGCGTCTAATAGTCACCGCCCATTTCGCCCTTCCACAAATAAGATCCACATCTTATTTGTGGAAGGGCGAAATGGGCGGTGACTATTAGACGCCTTGATTATAGCGATCTTTCTCTATCGCACGGATTTCTATGACTTACTTTATCGCTCTCACATAACGGCTGATGAACCATGGGGACTTTCCGACCCTGTAGTTTTAAGGGAGACGATCTACGATCTACATATTATTATTGTACTTTTTTTTTGTTTAAACAGGCTCAACAAATTGGCAAAGTCTTAATGCGCCCGCCGGCAAGCTTTACCCTTGGTCAACCACATCTACGTATATTAAAAAACCTCCATTCTTTGATGAAATGACCATCGATTTACCTAAACATAAACCTCTTGAAAATGCTAGAGTTCTACTTCTTTTGGGCGATTCCGTGACTACAGATCACATAAGTCCTGCCGGATCTATAGGTAGAACCAGTCCGGCTGCCAGATATTTGGCACAGAACGGACTAACTCCTAGAGAGTTCAATTCGTATGGTTCTAGGAGAGGGAATGATGCCATTATGGCAAGGGGTACCTTTGCTAATATTCGCTTGGTTAATAAGTTTATGAGCAAGGCTGGCCCCAGGACAATGTATCTCCCCACTAATGAAGAGGTAAAAATAATATCGTTTGAAGCGTTTTCCTATTTTGATATGCACAGTCAAGTGAAAACAGATCTGTATGAAGGCTTGTTGAAGCAACATGTCTCTATACTTTTGTTAAACGTAACGTTTTATAATATACAGTCCACTTCATCAAAGAAAGTTTGTTTCAATTCAATTCAATCAGTTTTAATGCTATAATAGTGCAGTACGGAAGCTAGTGCGAAACTGTACATATGGTGGTATATGTAAAGTTGTAACAATTTGAAGAAATTTTATTTATATACAAAAGATAAAAATTTTAAATCCTATCTACAGGGTGCTACGATTTGTAAATGTACAATTTACAATTATACATATATGGAAAAAACAAAGATGGAATATGTGACTATTTTAAATTATATGGTGATACTTTCCTCACTTCTGAATGTTTTGTTGTAACAGTCTGACTTTTCATTTGAGAAAAGATAACTGTTTATCCTTTAAATTTCTGATTTTTTATATTTTTAATATCAATATTGTTCTGTTTTTTAACTTTAATTAGATTAAAGGTTTCAAATAAGGTAACTTAACAGGGAATGAATATAGTCATCCATACCAACTTATGTATCAAGAAACAAGTAAAACAAATAGAAACAATTAAAAATACAGTAAAGAATCATCTTACTTCTTAAGGATAATGTGTTTATTGACTTATGAATATTTCTCTTATTTTTGGTCAGAGAATCATGTTGAATTTTACCGGTGGAATATCACAACACCCTGTATATTAGGGTGGGTTAAAAAAATCGACTTTATTTTTTACTTTATACTCTGAAAAATAGGTTGCTAGACACCTCTAGAAAATTCTCTCCAAATATGAGCTCTTAATTTTAATAGGACAGTTCTCCGCTTTACAGTTTTCCATTTTTTTCTCAGTATTAGAAAAAAAAATTCATATCTCTCTATCAACTGTTCATTAAAAATATCCCTTCTCATATACTTGTAGGAAATTGAACGCTCTACAAAAAAGGTCTCTTACAATTTTTTCGTAAACCTCTCCGTTTAAAAGATATTAAAGGTTGAAGTTTGATTATTTTAAGACAAATTTCTGTTTTGCTTATGAATTTTATAACGCGTTAACAAAAAATCGTTATGAAATGCGCAATTCATAGTTTTGTAAGAAATTAACTGCTCTACAAAAATGGTCTCTTATGATTATTCGATTAAATAAAGCTTTTAAAATATATTCATCATCAAAATTCAATGCATAATAATTCGGAAAATTTCAATTTAGTTTATGAGTTTCAGGGAAATTTATACAAATTTGAGTTTCTATGAACAGAGAAATGTTTTAAACTATTTTATATTATTTATAAAGCAATTTTTTTACAGTGAAAGTGTACGAATATTTTATAAATGTTTGAAATTTTATAACACTTGATAATTAAATAAAAAAACTTTTTAATAACAAATTGAAGATTTTTTTTCTTTAAGATTAATACTTTTCATAATAAATTTCTGATTAAAACGTTATTTTTTCAAGATTTAATGAATCATTGACTCTGTCAGAAATAATGCACTAATTTTTTTTTGATGTAACCAAACATGTATTATGACTAAAAAAAAACTAGAAAAAAAATTGTAAGAGATATTTTTTGTAGAGCGTTCAATTTCCTACAAGTATATGAGGAGAGATATTTTTAATGAACAGTTGATAGAGAAATATGAATTTTTTTTCTAATACTGAGGAAAAAATGGAAAACTGTATAACGGAGAACCTTCCTATTAAAATTAAGAGTTCATATTTGGAGAGAATTTTCTAGAGGTGTCTAGCAACCTATTTTTCAGAGTACAAAGTAAAAAAAATAGTCGATTTTTTTGACCCACCCTACTGTATATGGTATATACTTGTATCAACTTTCTTACAAACTATTTTCTAATCGATATAAGAAAATCACTTTGTAATAATTGTTAAAATCATATGTTGTATCATATCTCTTAGATGTCTTCTTTTTAGATGGATATATTTGACTGCGCCCAAAGATATGCGAAATCTGGAACACCTCTTATAGTTATCGCTGGCAAGGATTACGGATCTGGATCAAGCCGTGACTGGGCTGCTAAGGGCCCTTACTTACTGGTAAGCATTAATCACCGCTTTAATACTTTTGTCAGAAAAAATATACAGGGTGTCTGGAAACTGTACCGACAAAAGAAGACAGCAAATTCTAGGGATGATTTCATATCGATTTGACATAAATTGCTTCATAAGGCAGGTAGGGCTCAGTGAAAATGAAAAAAACAATTGACATTGTTTTTTTCTAATTACTCAGATTGCTTTTTATCTAGAGGGATCAAACTTAGGTTATATGTTAACTCTTATATGGACAGCTTTTTGATGTAAAAATTATCTTTTAATTCGTCACATTTAGAAGGGGATATTTGTAAGTATATTTTTTTTTTATTTTCGACTTTTTGGTATTTTTAATATCAAAATTGAAAACTTTTGTCTTGAGTAGCTATTTGAAATGTTTCTGCTTTTTTGCATGATAATTACAAAATTACAAATTCATTGCTAATATTTAGTAGTTGGCGCTGACAGATAAAACAACATTCTATAAAAAAAGTTGCAATTAATTTCTGTTTTCCAAAGCCAACTACTAAGTATTAGCAAAGAATTTGTAATTTTATAATTATATCATGAAAAAAAAACAAACATTTTAAATAGATTTTTCTAGCATACGCTATACCTTAGCGTATGCTAGAAAAATATTTAAGTATTTGATTTTGGTATTAGAAATAGCAAAAAGTCGAAGATAAAACAAATATAATTAAAAATATCAGCTGATGCGTATGGTTACAATTAAAAGATAATTTTTACCATTTTTTTTATCAAAAAGCTGTCCATATAAGGGTTAACACATAACCTAAGTTTGATCTTTCTAGATAGACAGTGATCTGAACAATTAAAAAAAGCCAAGCAATATCAAAGAGCCATCTTCAAAGAGCCCTACCTGCCTTATGAAACATTTTTAGATAAAATGATTTATGTCAAATCAATATGAAATCATCCCTAGAATTTGCTGTTCTCGTTTGTCGGTTTAGTTTCCAAACACCCTGTATGTATATTTTTTCATTTACATGGTGTGAAAGTTGTGTTAAAGGAAGAATTTTGCTATTCCTTCTTCTAGAGATACAGCTTTAAATGTTTATTGTGTACTAGCCAAATCCTTAATAAGGTTTTAATGGTCAAGATGAAACTTAATTATATGGATATTATGCAAATTATTACAATTACAGATAAAGGCACATTTAGGTTAATGACAACAATAAAACTTGTTTTCTACCTAAGCCTGAAGTTATATAGTTTTAATTACTTGCCATAATCTGTCTGCCTCATTACCTGATTAATACCTACAAGTATTAACAGGTTTACTATATAAAGTAGGAACAATATTACATTATTCAGGATGTTTCCAAATTTTTATACCAAATTTAAGCAGGAGAGGAAAATGTTTCAGTAAAAAGTTTTATATAAATAATATATGATCCAAAAATGTCTAATAAAAAATAAAGAGTAGAAAATTTGCTTTGATGAAATTACATTTTCATCAGTTACTTCTAAATTAATTCTTAAGAAGTTTTTTTTTAAAAATTGAGTCTGACTGACTCAACATGCACTATATTTCATTAGAAAACATACCTGTTTGTCAAACCAGACACAAACTCACTAATCCATTAATTTAAATATCTTAATAAAATGTTAGTATTGGAGAAGAATCACTAAAGCTAAAATTAAAGAAAGTTATCTTAAACCACAGTGTTTTTTCAAACCCCCTCTTTTTTGTTCTGAGGAATTTAAAGTGATAAAGGAAATAATAAAGGAATTTTTATTATATGTAAGTTGGTTGGTTGGTTAGTTGGTTGGTTGGTAAATGTAAGCTGGAATGTTTACCGTTATAACCATTTTAAAATGTGTTAATAAGAATATAGTGAGACATAATACATAATATATAATATAATCTATATTATATTAAAAAGTACTTATATTTTGTTTATTTGAATTCAAAACTTTTTTGTATTGGAGTAAACATTATTAAAATAAAAAATAATGTATCCTTTTATTTTAACATAAAAACTGCTGTATTTTATAAAATATTAGGTGCCCCTCTTAAGAAAGTCAATAGCTCTGGTAATGTCAATACAAAAGAGGATCTCAATTAAATGTTGCACCAAATTGATTCCATCACATTTTAAAAAAATTAATTTATACAGGATGTCCCATTTATAATGGGCATTACCCATCTTCATTTTTTCTAATGAAATAAGTACTAGGACTATGAATTAATTTTAAGAGATTTTTTAATTAAACAGGAAAAATAAAACTTCTGGCAAATGGTGTTTTGTTAGCTCATAATTCGATATCTTCGGAGCTGAGAAAAAATATATGTTGTTTACACTTCAGCAAAATGACACAATAGAAAGTAAAGCTTAATGACAGAGCTTTGACATGAATATAGTTACAGAAGTGTCCTATGCAATATAGCATAAGTTACGGTTTCTATTGTAAATCCCTCAAAATTAATTCACAGTGCTAGTATATATACTATATCTATGTTAAATTTTTATTCACATGAATATTTTTCGTTCTTACGAATATTTAAAAAAGTATTATCTTTAATACTTTTTTAAATATGCAGTCTTGAGCAAATTTTTCAGCCTTTAGAGTACAAATTAAATTAGAAAATATTATATGTACAATGAATCAAACTAAAATTATCTGCTGGTGATTTTGAAAGTGGGGTAGTAATTTTAGTATGCGCCTACTTATTCCGAGAAGTGATATACAAAAAATAGCAGAATAAAATGTTATTTATAAAAAATTAGACAACTATTTGCGCATTTTTAAAATATGTAATCTGGTACTGTACACTCATAGCAAATGTTGAAAATTATTTCCGTTTTCCTGTAAACAAAACCTAGTCTGGCGGACCCATGATTCAGTGCAAGAAGTTAATAGCCTATCATGTTGGCGATTGTTTTGGCAGCGTTTTCTATGCTCGTTCGTAATTCTTGAACACTGGTGACTTCAGGGCCATCATACACTAACATTTTCATGTGTCCCCACTGTTAAAAATCACAAGGATTTAAGTCCGGAGTGCATGGAGGACATAGAACTGGCCCATTACGTCTAACACATCTGTCATTAAAGACATTAGTTAAATGATTGCATTTCACACCGAAAATGAGGCGGAGCGCCATCGTGTAAATACCACATATTTTGACGAACATGTAACGGAATTTTTTCAAGTAATTCGGGTAAATTATTCTGTAAGAAATGCAGAGTCTAAACCGGTTAGCCGATCCGGCAAAATGAAAGGTCCAACAAGCTATAATTCCTGCCCATACATTTAAGGAAAATATTCGCTGGAAGTTTGTTTGTCGAATTGCATGGGGATTTTCTACAACCCATACATGTGTATTATGAAAGTTATTTATCTCATTCTTAGTAAAAGTCGCCTCATCCGTTACCAAGACATGTCTCGTAAAATTTTCATTAGCATTGTTTTGTTGCAGTAACCATTCACACAGTCAAAGGGTAGTAATGCATGCACACGTTGCATGTGGAACGGATAAAGTTGATTTTTTCGTAAAGTTTGCCATACTTTGCTTTGGGATACATTTACCTGATGTGAAATTTTTCTCATACTCGTGGGATTCTCAATGGTATCCAAAATCTCTTCAGCCTGCATCACTCGCAAAGGACGAATTTGTCTGTATCCCGGGCTCGTTGTGTTAAATAAACAAATTGTCTTGCAGAGAGATGAAACCTACGAGGAAATTTCTGTGCATATCATTGAGCAGCATGCGTCGAATTTTGTTTACACTCTCTGTATATTAACAACAGGTTCAATATTATAACACGTGGCTTATTGATAACGTATCGGCCAACATGCATGACATTAGCGTGTTCCGTTGCTTGACCTATTAGGGTAAGTTAGGGATTTACAGAGTCGCCTTCAAAATTTGCAACAACATTTATTAGAGCAATTTTTTGTAAAATGATTTATTTTAATGCCTACTGCCATCAGTTAAAATTAATACCCCACTTTCAAAATTATCCTGTATATGTATAATTTAATATTGCCAAGGTTGAATTAAAATAAAGTGATGTGAATGTACGATGCAAATTATTTTAATAATTTACTTTTATTCAACTTTTAGGGGGTACAGGCTGTAATTGCCGAATCTTTTGAAAGGATTCACCGATCGAATTTAGTGGGAATGGGAATAGTACCTCTTCAGTTCTTACCAGGACAAAGTGCCGACTCTCTTGGATTGACTGGAAAAGAAAATTACACAATCCAATTACCAGAACAAATAAAACCTGGCCAGAACATAACAGTTAATACAGATTCGGGCAAAGATTTCGAAGTTATTTTAAGATTTGACACTGAGGTTGACCTTCTGTTCTATAGACATGGAGGTATTCTAAACTACATGATTCGACAGATGCTGAATTAGATGATTAAATTTTTTTTATATTCGTTTTACATTAAAATAGGGTGAAGCATATGAGAGGTTTTTTTGGGAAGGCTGTTTTATGTATGTAATATATATATNTAGATTTTTTTGGAAAGTATCTGCATTCTCTATGCAAACTAATGAGCCTATTTGAGTGCAATACGTTTGACTTTCAAAAAAATGTCATATGTGTATATATATATATATATATTTTAAAGGATACATTATGTGTAATGTAGATTTTAAAAATGCATTTGTTGAAACTGTGGAAATATTTTTGGTAATTTGATTATATGTAGCCATAAAAAACTAGTCATTATTAAAAAATATATTAATAACGGACTGATTAATTGGTTCAAAAAAAGTCAAAGTTCAAAACGATAGGAAAATCAATTTTTATCAGAAATATTTTCTTGTTTTTAGTTATTGTACTTTACCGGTACCTATATACTGGTAAATTTTTATTTGGTTCAATATAAAATACTCATGATGTTTATTGTTTTATTAAGGAACCGAGCACTGCAAATATGAGCCATTTTAAACAACTACTTTTACGAGACGTTGCACTATGCATGAGTTACCCATATGACAAAAATAATTTTTTTACTATAGTAAAAACGTTGCTAAAAAAAATAGGAGTAATAATTCGCATAAAGCTGAAAATTGGTACGAATGTTGGGAACACCATTATAAATAACATGTGACAAGTCCCCATCGTTCCCACATCTGCAAAAAAAATTATTCAAGGTCAAAGTTCGCAAATATGAATTTTTTATATTTTTCAGCCAAACGGTAAGTTTTATCACAAAAATGGGTCCGACAATAATTGTAGATCATGCAATTATCTATAAAAATTGCCCTTAAACTTTTTTTCCTAAGAATCACCATTTCTGAGATATAGCCTTATTAGGCCCCTTGTACACCCCCTTCATTACTCAAGTACTTTTCTTTAAACCATCCTATTACTACACGGGTGGCTTCGTGACAAAGTCTCGTACAATTTTTAATGTATGATAGCATGGTTTTGAGTTACAGAGACTTATTGCTCTCTTCTCATTACCATTTTATCGTCGGGGACCACATGCAGGCGGAAGGAGTTGAGCGACCCAGGTCTCTGGTAGGCTGCCACAGCCACGTCTCCGAGCCAGCCTTAGGTCACCCATCCAAGTACCAGCCTGCATCCGTGATGCTTACCTCGACCGATCGAAATCCATCGGCCAAAACACCTGGCTTGGCGGTCCCCTGTGAGGTAGTGTATTTGGCGTGTTTTTTTTTAACGTGGTTTTCCCCGTAGGCCTGTTCCACGATCTATTGTAGTACTATTGGAAATGATGAAAGTGGTGTGAATTATGAGTAATTGTAGAAAACTATTCTTCTGATTGATAATTATCTAATGAAAGTTCATGTGTAATGACTTCTTCTTTTTCTCTTCCTTCTTCCTGCTGGATACAGGTAAATCGTTCTAACAACGATGCATTAAATGTCTCCTCGATGATATCGTAAAAATCCTTTTCTGATGGTGATTCAACATTGGAGCACAACTAGCTTTGACAACTGGTACATGGTAATGAATAAAAATCCAATATTGAATCGTCATTAGAAGAGGATTCTTACGATACCATCCAGGAGACATCTGAAGCATCACTGTTAGAACAATTTACTTGTATCCAGCAGGAAGAAGAAGAAGACATCACACTTATAGTTCCATTAGATAATTATCAATCAGACAAATAGTTTTCCCCAATTACTCATTCACATGGTTTTCATCATTTCCAATAGTACCATTTAATACAATATTATTTAATTAAACAGGACCACAATAGATCGTGGAATAGGCCTACCGGGGAAATGACATTAAAAAAGTCGCGCCAAGTACACTACCTCACAGGTGGCATGGAGACGTGTGCATATTATAGAAAACACAACTTTCTCAACTTTTTGAATTGTTATATCTCGGAAATGGTGATTCTTCAGAAAAATAGTGTAAGAACATTTTTTATAGATAATTGCATGATCTTCAATTTTTGTCTGACCTATTTTTATGATAAAACTTACCGTTTGGCTGAAAAATGCAAAAAATCCGTATTTGCAAACTTTTACCTTGAATAAATTTTTTTGCAGATGTGGGATCAATGGGGACTTTCCACATGTCATTTATAATGTTCCCAACATTCGTACCAATTTTCAGCTTTATGCGAATTATTGTAAACTTGAATGTCTATGATTGTTTTCACAAGGATCTATTCGAATTTTTCCAAATGGCTTTTCCGTGATTTTGATGAAAGGAAAAAAAAATATTGAAAACATGTTTGAAAAATTTGTTTTTGTTCAGTTCTATGTTGGGTTAAAAGGAAAGTGCCAAATTAAACATCAACAAACATATACATGAAATGAAACTCGATATAAAAACAATACTGTATTTAATTCAAAAAAACCTTATATCAACACAGAAGTACATAAATAATGGAATAACAAATAACCATCGATGCAGTTTTAATCATAACGCTCCTAAGCATCATATGTTGATGCGGAAACATTTCCACCCTTTCCTGTCCAATTGGTATGCACAAAAATGCCTTCTTTCCCAAGCAGTTCGTAAGTATGTGCGCCAAAGTAATCACGCTGGGCTTGCAAAAGATTGGCTGGGAGGCGCTCAGAACGATACCCATCGTAGAATGCAAGTGCTGTTCCCAACGCTGGCGTTGGCACACCTTAAATATAAAAATATTTTAATTTTCAATATTTAATATAATACATAACATTAATAATGAAGTCATACAGGATACGTACAAAGTCAACATATTATTTTAAATATATATGACCTCGTTGGTCCTTGCTGAGCAATAACATATTTCATTATAAAAAAGGTTAACTTAAAACAAACCAAAAATTTAAGTACTTTTAGTACTTCAATCTAAAATTGGTAAAATAAATATTTCAAATATGTCATTGGCTAAATGAACAAATAATAGGTAATAAATCTAATTTTTTTCTACTTAAATACTGCCTCGTTAATATAATATTAGAAACGTTAAGTACGACACTTATTTAATAAGAAATCAAGAAATCTATCCCAAGAATTTATAGCTATGGATTCCGTCAAATTTATGAGTTAAATTGTTTTTATGCGGTTCAAACTGATATCGTAACGACTATACCAGAGGTGTACGTTAGAAACAGAGTAGTTTTTCCTCTCTAAATTCTATGCCAGTGATGGATTCATCATTTTACTAGATTTCTTAATGTTTTAAACATTTTCTACAAAAATGATGTACTCTTATTTCATAACGTAGTTAGAAAATTATCCTTATTTATAAATGATTTTCATGAAACTTATGATAAAGATCCTAATGGTATGATTATTACCTACAATTTTCATTCCAATATCTTAATTAGAAAGGAAGTTAATTTAAAATATATCCAAAGGATACGACGACCCCTTTGGAGGCCATATCTGAGTAACGGTGTTCCGGAGGACCAATGTTTATAGGAATTTTATTTTACTATTTTTTGTTCTACTTTCACCGCCTTAAATTTTGTACCAACTTTTCCAAATACCCTGTATATACTACTTTTTATCTTTGGTAATAAACGGCAACTTATAGATATATAGGTATTAATATAATGATATACAAATAAATATATTTTAAAAGCTTTTTCCTAGACTTTTCTTTGGATTCGATTCAACTAATTCCCCAGTCGCTTCGTTCGCATTATGAGCGCCATCGCGTCATAGTGCTATATCGCCCAACCTAAATAAGTACAATCGACCAAATACTTTTGTAATTTTTGTTTTTAAATAATATTTTAATGTATTTATTTCACTCCTCTATTGTTTGTAAGATACATTGTTAAATTTTTATATATGTTACATTTTTTACTAGAATTAATTAGTTTTTTTTGCCCCCCGAAACACCCGGTTTATTTAGGTGTTATACAGAAGTAATTCCAGGTTTGTCAATAATTATATAAAAAATATTCTTTAGTAACACTAAAAAGACCTCTTAAAAGGGCAATACTTGAAATGCAGAAATATAATTCATCATGGCTGATTAGCTATTAGAAACAATAGGAAATAGTTTCTTTGGAAGGTTTGTGACATTATTTAATCATTACAATATTAATATTATTTGAATAGATAATTTCTTTATTTATTAATTGGCTTGTCAATGGAGTTATTTCTTTAGCAAACCTAGACATTTAGTATTAAATAGTACACACTTCATGTGACGAAAATTTATTTGAATTTTTAAATTAGTTTAAGGTTTATCTGATTTGGAATTGACGAACAAATATTCATAAAAAAATTAATATAAGCTTATTAATATGATATGGAGGATAAGTTAGTCAACAACAGCAGTTTGAAGGAGAATTATTATAAATTATGTATCTTACAAGTACCTAATCGATTTCTACGAGCTGTCATACGGTTCCTTAGATATCGGTTTCCTATTTATACAAGTTGCTGTGGAAACTGTTCGTCAATTGTTGCGCATTCTAAGTGGAAAGACCAAAAAAATCCGCGTTCTCATAAGACTTCGTACTGAATCGTGAAAAATTATTTTATTAATATCTCGTCTCTTAGATATCCAAACTAGTCATAATTTTGTTTGAGGATTTTCTTCATATTAATAAGCTTATATTAATTTTTTTATGAATATTTATTTGTTTGTCAATTCCAAATCAGATAAACCTCCTTAATACCTTAAAATAAAGCATTAAATAAAAGAAAAAGAAGACCAGTTATTTGTTTTAATTTTAAGTTAAATACTTTATATTTTATTAAGATTTTAATAAAAAAAATCCATCGAAATGCTTTGAAAACTGTTAATTTAAAGTAAAAAATAAAATAACGCTGTCAATGGTTTTTTGACCTTAACCTAGTTATTCACTTTTAATTCTCAATGCTTAAGATCGGGAGGATGCCTTTCACAAAAATTTAGTTAAAACACTGACCCTGAATCTAAAGTATCAAACTGGCTGACCATGACATATATTGAAAATTTAGAAGCACAGCTAATTCAATAAAAACCAACTAATTCATTGAAACTTACCTATTGTAACTGCTGTCGCAACAACATTTCTCCATCCTGCTTGGGCGTTTGTAATGGCATTCAAAAAGAATGGATCCAAAAGAAGGGACGTTAAACCTGGATCTTTATCGAACGCCGTTTTGATTTGCCCCAAGAAAACTGACCTGATAATGCAACCACCCCTCCACATCAACGCAATGGAACCGTAGTCCAAGTCCCAGTTGTGTACTTTAGCGGCTTCGCGTAACAACATGAAACCTTGTGCATACGACACTATTTTGGCAGCATACAAAGCTTGTTTTAGGTCTCCAAGGAACTGCTTCTGGCATCCTGTGAATTTTGTTGTAGGTCCTGAGAGTTTCTTGCTGGCGATAACTCTCTCGTTTTTAAGAGCAGACAAGCACCGGCTAAACACGGCTTCTCCGATCAAGGTTACTGGTACCCCGTAGTTAAGGGCAGCGATTGCTGTCCATTTGCCAGTGCCTTTTTGTCCGGCGGTGTCTCGTATTTTGGGAAGCAAATATTGACCTATAAAAATTTTATTAGAGTTTTTCTTTTGCCTATAATTGCAATAATTCTCATATAATATATGTTCCAAATTTGACAAAACTTGGGTTATAAAACCAAATTTATTGTCAAAAGGATTTTTTGCTGAAATAAGAAACTAAAATGATTTAATTTTGAAAATTGTTTTAATTTTTCGCTTAAATAAACAAATGGACATTAATTCTGACATTTAATATTGATTGTAGAATTTAATTAGTGCTCGTTTATTTTAAAAGAAATAAAACAAAAAAAATTCAGAAATAAATAGGTGTAACTAACCGTTTGTTGAAAATGAAGGAGCATATTCCAATATAAATATTTGTATTACAGGCATTTTGAAGAATTATTATAAAACCAATAATTGAACAATTCTATATAAAAGTATAATCTATACTAAGCCGACCAAATTTGACACAAAAAAGTTTTTGAGATGTAACAATCTTAATATTTGAGAAAAATTGAATAGTGCAAACCGCATCACAATATGTTAATTCATTTAAGAGATAAAGCATTTTCCATTTTCATGATTCTCATTCATAAAGCCCTACAACTTTTTTGTTAAAAAGGTTTTTTAAACAGTTTTTTGCACAGCTACTGTGCACAACATTATTTTTTTAATGGCATACAATTATTGAGGAAAATGTAACCGGTATACCTCATATCTACAGGATGTTTTGCAAAAAGGTACCATACAATCAGGAGTGGATAGAACATCAGAAAATAAAGATTTTTTGTTGTGGACCATGAATAATGTATAAATAAGTCAGTATTAGTTAAAACGGGATAAATAAATGTTTTTTGAATGACAATTACTTTTAAAGGAAACAAACTTATATTAAATTAATTTATGCAAAGCAGCATGCATATTAAGGAGCAGAAGCTGGTTGACTTTGGGGCAGTCAACTACATTTTTTTCAAAGAAGGAAAATTTTTTGCGAATTAGCAGACACCTTTTCTATATAAACTGATTTTACAACATATTATACACTGTAAAAAATCTAACTTCAAAAAAGTTGTCATAAAATGTCACTGGGAAAGGTGCTAGCGACCTCTAGCAGATGCCCAAAAACTGACATATTTGACACCTTCAAAACTATCAAATTTTATTGCATTGTTTTTTGAAAAAGATATGGCTAAAATTTGATAAACAGAAGATAGGCTTCACAGGAACAAAGTGTTCTTAATTTTTGATATTCTATCAGCACTTGAATTTATGGTACTTTTTTCCAACAAAACGCCCTGTGTACTGGTTTCAGTTGACATTTAATTTTTCACGAATGCTATTTTATTTATACACTGTAGACATGTGTTCAAAGATATCTAAATATATATATTTTTTTAAGCCTGGAAAGTTGCAACATGCTAAGAACGAGGGTAAAGACAAGGTCAAATTTTTATGTAACAGAATATTCTTAAATTGTAACAAGAAATCTCTTTCCCTTGTTAAATTTTATACTTCTTATATACAAAAAAGCTTACATTCATGTGAACTATTTTAGAGAAAAAAATCATAATTATTTATTATCAGTGCTGCAATATTGTGACACAAAAATTCAAATTAACATGTCTCACTTTGTAGGAAGGTTTTTGAGACATATATATATGATACAATTATGTTACTATCACTCATGTGAAATGTTAATTATATATCTTATCATGTTTTGTTTAAGTGGATACTTTAATCTTAATGCAGTAATTCTGATATCCAAGATATAACAAATTTCATTACTAAACACTTTCATTATTACATCTTACCATCACTGTCCTTGAATCTCAAAATATCTCTAGTGATTTCTATAAGGAAACTGTCCAATTCTCCCTTATTCCATTCGGCAAAGGTGTTTGCCATTTCTTCTTGACTAATTCCAATAGAAGACATTAACTGATAAATTTCACCAATAAGTTGCATGTCTCCGTACTCAATACCATTATGTACCATTTTAACAAAATGTCCAGCACCATCGTTACCCACCCACTCACAGCAAGGTTGACCATCAGCTTTGGCGGCTGTACTTTGGAAAATATCCTTAATAAATGGCCAGGCTTCCGGATTTCCGCCAGGCATTAAACTGGGCCCGTAACGAGCACCTTCTTCACCACCTTTAATAAAAAATAAAAATTTTCTATTTAATTTCATATAAATTATAATTATAAAAAAATTAAATAAAATGCCGGGTAGGTAGGTAGGTATCACAAAATTAAAAAAAAATAAAAATTCTACTGTGTTGGTCAAGTATTTTAGAAATACAAAGATAAAAAAACATTAAGTACTTTGCCACAATATGCTGAATTTTTTAGCATTTAAATCTGTTTTTGCGTGTCCAAAGATCTAGGTACAAGAGATGCTTTAAAAAATAAATATTAAACATTTTGTCTTTTACACAAAGAAGAAAAAGTCAGAAATTAAATATGTAGGTAATGTAAAATCTCACCTGACACCCCTGCTCCAACAAATCTGATCCCTTTGGCTGCCAAGTCTGCTGTGCGCCTTTGACTGTCCTGATACTCTGAATTACCTCCATCGATAATGATATCACCTTTTTCAAGAAGTGGTACAAGTTGATCGATAAAACTGTCTACGGCACTCCCAGCTTTAACGAGCAACATGATACGGCGAGGACTTTTCAATTTGTTAACTAAATCTTGGATTGATTCAGCCCCAATTATACTTTTTCCTTTAGCCTCGTTAGCCAAAAAAGCATGCACCTTTTCAATAGATCTATTAAATGCTACGACGGTGAATCCGTGATCTGCCATGTTCAAGATTAAATTTTGACCCATTACGGCCAATCCAATAAGGCCTATATCTCCTTTTCTAAAAACATTTTAGATTCTTTTCAGTTCATTTTGTATAGATTATATTACATCATTAAGAGACGGCAAATTTGTACCAACCAGTTTTACTGTTTTTTATTCTGAATAGAAAACTGGTGTTGCACGATGATATAGCAAATATATGAAGTGAATAACTAGCCCAAGTATTGTACCGAATTCAGTAAATTTACTATAATTTATTTGTACAAAAATCGCTTGCATTTTCGACTTTCTAAATGAAAATATTTTGAAAACTTACCCAGACATTGTGGCCACCTGTTGATTAGAGGTTAAAAAATCCTAAACAAAAATTTCTTTTCTCCGTGTCCGTAAGCGAATCGATGGTAACATAAATTATATTGGCTGGAAGCTAATTATTTATCCCCTCTATTTTTCATATCAATTTTTAAAGTCACATTGAATGATTGAAGGTCGAGTATTAATCAGCGAGAAATTACCAATCCGTGTAAAAATCGTGACTCCGTTGACGTGCTATGCCATTGCCAAGCCAATGGTCTTTATTTATTTTTATGTTATCTTGAATCGCTGTGCCCTTGACATCAGCAGCCTGAATCAAAGATCTAGTTTTGATAAAATTATAATTTATTTAAACATTAATATTTGTATAAATGGCAGAATAAATACGGGTGCAACATTTTTAAGTAAATGCAATGCATTTTGACCAGATAATTTGATTTTGACTCATTTTTGACTTCCCGGTTTGTCGAATTTATGAGTTTGAGTTTTGAATAGCCTAGTTTGAATTTAAATTAGATATAAAAGTATAACTAGGTGACTGATTTTATATGCAGTTTGTACTTAGACGTTTTTGTTTTTAAATACTAAACTACTTTAAACATTATCTATCTTTTGCTTAACTGAATATACCTATTAAAGTTTCAAAGCACCTATTAAAACACCTATAAAATATATACAAAACTGTTTTGTAATTTAATTTTGATGTAAGTTAAGTTGTGACTGGCATAAACCGTAGTAATCCTAGATCATAGAAAAAATAATATACAAGATAGAACGAAATCTCCCTAAATAATCCACTAAACCATTACCACAGCGCCTCTGGTGATTTGGAAGCCTAACTAATGCATAATGTAGACAACCGTAGACATGCATGCATATGTACATTTGGTTGCCTAATTTAAGTGCAGTATTTATTGTTGCCCATGGGTATTAATTATTATTAAATATTTTTCCTTTATATTTAAAAGTTTAAATATATATTAAAGTAAAGAAATCTACCTTGTTTAAATTGTCCATACTTTAATATATATATTTAAACTTTTAAATATAAAGGAAAAGCATAAACATACCAGAACCCCATTTGTTTAAAGGAATAAAAAAATATTTTATGAAATACAAAACAATTTATTATATAAACTAGAAATGGTTCATTACAACGGAAAGGACATATTTAATACTAAGACTTACTTATCTAAATTATTCTGAGTAAAAATATGTTATGTACTACCAATTTTCTTATATTTACATAACTTAACAAATTCATAAGATTGTTCCAACAGCTGCAGGCCATTTTCAAATTGTCGGAACTCAAAATGAAGTTATTTTATGGCCAGAGATTAATCATAAAGAATATAATTATGTCCAAGCCATGCAATCTTTATTTATTAATTAATATAATTAACTGATTGAAATAACAATTTTACGAGTACCAAGTAAAATGCAGAGAAACTACTGTTGTTTATCTACTAATATCTCTAGATATTAAATTGTATCAGCTTATATATTAACAAATCCGATAAAAAGTATTATTTCACTTCAAAATGTTAGTACTCATTATTATTAAGATAAAATGTATATTTTAAAAGATCACAACAATCAACTGCGGAAATTGACAATTCACAAACTACCTGCAACCGCAACCGTTGGAACAAACCTTATAAGTATTTTATTTATATGTGATCTTGCATACAAATCTTATAAAATAAAGATTCTATTTTAAGTGTGTACCCTCTTGCAATATAAAAAACATTTTTTATAAAGCTTTGGATATATTATCATTTCTTTTTAAATATTTTTTTCGTTTCATTAAAATATCTATTCCGGATGTGCCGGAAGTGCAACATTTTTATGATATCAGACTTTAGTACTTCTAAAATAAGTTAAAGATACCATATAACTTTGTCCCTTTCTTCGTTTGTTTTCTTTCAAAAGGATTTTATAAATGACAAATTAGCCATTTTAAAGCGCAATTTTCTCGGAAACTGACAAAGATAGGTATAGGACATAATACATATTTTAGTGTTAGTTTCTTCAGCAGAATTGAAAACAAAAATAATATACAAGGAGTTCCATATGAAATAACAAAGTTTATGGCATTTTCGGTCAAATAGGAAGTGGCGGTCAGTTGTTTTTATTAAATTTTGCATCAAATTCAATGATACGCATGCCAAAAATTTTAAATCGATATCTTTTTTCGTGCCTAAGCTAGAGCTTGGGTAGTAATCTAGTGGTCACCCGGTATATGACGTATTTATGGCTGCCTTACCTGAACATAATTTGCAATTTTTTCAAACTTTTCCCCGACAAAATCTTCAAGGCCATCAACCTCATCCAGAAATTGATTATAATGTAAATTAGGCTCAACTGACTTTTCATCAAACATTAGTACACAGAACTTATTGTTGGGTTTAATTTTTTTACTAGCTGAACTTAAAACTTTAAAAACAGCATCATGAATTCCCGAAGAAATGGGAATTCTTGACAACACTTTTTGTAAAGTTACTCTTGAAGGTAAAATAAACAAAGAGGATAGTAATTTGTATGCTGCGTTACTCTGCTTGTAAAGGGCAAGGGCAAGAAATTTATCTTCAATGTCAAATCTTCTACCTTTAGCCTTTTTGCCAAATGATTCAACCTGTCTTTTGAAAAAGTGAACTGCAGGATGGTTAAACTGTTTGGTCAAATTTTGAAAGCATTTTTCTTTTGACCATTTTTCGATAGTTTGGATTTTACGTTGTCAATCCATTTTCCGTTTGGAGAGTATGAAAGCTTTCTTCTCATAATACAAAGCTTGCTTATACAAAATTCTGGAGATAGGAGACAGTTGTGAACTCTCATGTACACCAACATTTTTCAACAAACCATGTTTTGAAAAAACGGCAAATAAAAACTGATATTACATTAACTCATTAATATTACATACTGCGTGCTACAGGAACATTTAACCTTATTTGAGAATTTTCAGATGTCTGACGGTACTGAATTGCACCCAATTCATTATTTTCATCACCTTGTTAGAATAAGTGATGCTCCCAGTGCGGGTTTGAGGGTGAGTTCGTGAAAAATTGTGATCATTAGTTATAGCCATGGCAATGTATGTCTTTTGTTTATAATAAATAATGTATGGCTTCAAGCCGCTGCTGTAATTGAAAATATAAAATCGACAATAATAAAGTGTTTAGTGGTATTAGTCGTTTATTCTTACA